GTCGGGAGAGATTTCACCACTGGTACCGGGATTTTTCCAGGGCAGTCCACAGAGAGTGTGCCGCTACGAGCGGCACGAGCTCGCAGGTTTGGAGGTGTATGCCGCATGTCCTGCGCTTTGGATCATCATGCCCCATGGTTCATAGGTGACTGTTGATGAATCAAAACCTCCATAAGATGATAAGATATTTACATTATTTGACCATCCTGGTTGGGGGGCTTTTGTGAATCAACAGTCAACATGAGCCAGGTAGCTTTACTGAGCTCCAGTCTTCGCTTTCACATGGACTCGGGTGTTTTCGCCATCCATGGTGAACCTGTGATGTTGGGTGATGGCGAGCGGACGTTTGATCACGTGATATCACATTTTTCTTTTAAGCACCATGAGACGACATGATTCTTTCTTTGCGCCTTGGCACACATCACATCTTTCTACCCGATTTTTTCCGCAGAAACCAAGCTCTTTTGGGACCTCCCTTTTTGGTCCGAAAGAATCGCTCCTGTACCGCCGTCAGAAAAGCAACAAAATACGGCGGTACTCTGGTCCAGTGGGAGAAATTATATCATGCTACTTTCCACTTGTGATCCCTTACACAACATTTTCAGCGTTGGAATTATAGCTTTCAATTTCACCACCCTTCCAAAATGCAACTATTTACTGCTGGCAGTACTGTAATGCTTGGTCAATAACGATGCCTGATGGGATGTTTCCCTTTGTGTGCTGCTTAATTCATGCTAAGTTTGATGGAATTAAGTCATCCGATGATCTTTGCCAATTTTAGCCATGCCAATCCCATGTCCATCGCTATTAAGTACCTTTTCCTTACAGGATAAGAGTTGGTCATTGTTCGTGGAGTGCATGCCGTTGGTTTGTGCATGTTGGCATTCTTGACCTGAGATGCCTGTGTGAAACACACATGCGTGCATCCTGCATACAGGCATGCTTCCATACAGGCATGCTTCAAAATATGAACTATATGAACTAGTCGTTCACACGTGCACATGTGTTATGTTTGGGGTTAAAGGCATGATGTGTGTATTTAGCAGCGCTCAAATGTGCGGACAGGTTATATAGTTACAGTCGGTTACAGTTCTATTTTGCATAGTCAGGCACAGCTGCTGCGTGTCGAGCGAATGCTACTCCGCTGATATGATATGCTCCTGACTTGCCTTTGCTTCATCACTCGAGGTTGACAACAAACTGTTGGAAACAAAACACGGGAATGGCACTGTTTGTCAGGTTTTGCATTTGCTAGTTAAATGCAAACACAGCTGCATTATGCATTGCACATCATGATCTTGGAACACACGTCTCTTTTTTGTGCAGCCGCCAACTTGAACATTTCATCAAACATATCTCACAGCAGAATGTTAGTCACACTGGTGTGCTGCAGTAATTGCTTGGTTACAGTTGCACGGCATAAACACATTAAATTGCCACTTTCCACGTGTTGCCGGTAGAAATCTGCCACTGCACCAAAATATAACATGTGTCAGCGGTGGTAAAAGTGATAAGTTGCCGAAACTGTTGCCACTGTTGAAAGTTGCACCGTCTTTTTTGCCAGACTTGGCGGCTCATTGATGACAGCATGTTTGACACCCAAAGAAATCCATGCAAGGAGCCGATATGGAGCCATGTGGAGCAGCCTTTTTTGGGAGCCTTCAACAGGATTCCAGTTGGTGACCGTCAGATCTCTCCCTCCAATCTCTCTCCCAGCTCCAAACATCGTTTTTTTTTACCTTCTTGACCAATGTTTTTGTATGGCTAACTCTGGTAAAATGAGCTCATTGATCTGTCATTGACCGGCAGCATCGTGATGTCGTGGTTGGGTCTTGGCCTCCCAGGCTCTTTGTGGATCATCTTGTTCCTCGTGGGCCTTTGCTGCCTCTTCAACGTGCAGACACCATCGGTCTTCGAGGACGCATCGGTGGATGACCGTGGTCCCTTTGGTCGAAGCTCCGGTGGATGACCGGTGGCTTTTCCCTACAAGGTGGAAGGAATCTGGACAGGAAGGCAGTTGGTTTCAGAACCAGAAACCCGAGGAATTAGAGAAAGTGTGAGCAAATATAGGATCCCAAGTGTGACACGTTTCACAAGTGGCACACGAACTGAGCCCACTCTTCTGCACTTGACCCTTGAATTTGTCAATGTATAGCTACTGCTAAGTACAGGACAAACATGCTGAACAATCCAAATGATCTATCTGGTTATATATATATATAGTATTGGTTTTGGTTCTTTGCCCCTATTGATTCACCCCATTCCTGGCAACAAAGATAAACATTCTACAGTGCAGAGAACTTCCATGCTTGGCCGAATGCCCCGCACTTCAAGTCCCCACAGAAATTGAAACAGGTGACTACAGTTCACTTCAGGTGCAAAGACTTGACCGGCCTGAAGCGCGAACCGATATGCAAACATCAGGATGTTTGCTCAACATTGAATTAAAATGAATTAAACAGTTGAGTTCATTTGCTAGGTTTTTGAGCCCTTTGGTCTTGGAGCAAATCAGCGGTTCAGGCCGATAACGTTCTTTTCAAAGACCTGAAGCAAACTGTTATCATCACCTGTTCATGTTTTTGGGGGCCTGCAATGCCATGCCATGCCGGATGTTGATCTTGTGGCGAGGTTGCATGACAAACTTCATGTTTCGGGAGGTTGATTGCATGGTTTCAGGAAGTGGTCAGATGAAGACGCTCATAGTAAATTATAGATTGTAAGTCATTGCAATGTTATAGTATATAATGGCAATCCTGTCATTCATGCCGTTTCTAATTGGAAGTTCAGGCCTACCCCACCTATCTACAACCTTACAAATCAATGTGTTGTAACAATTTCCCCAAAATGTGTTCGCACTTTAAAGAAGTTTCAACGCTGTAGTCATCTCATCATGTCCACTTCTTGTCAAACAAGACTTGGAAGACAAACTTCCGAGTTACGAACAATAGAGCACGAGTGGGAGAAAACACATAGGAGGTCCTGAGGTCAAGTCGTACAAATGCAACATCAACAGCATCCTCAACCTCAGACAGCCAAAGGGGGTTAGTCTTTTAGGATGCCCCTGCACATCCCTGGACCAAGTTCTAAGTCACTGTGTAGGAGTGGACCGATTGGTTTGTGTCACTTCTATAGTTTTGCTCGGTTCCAAGAACAGCATGATGGTTGCAGCATGCAGTGAGTAAACTCAGATGATTGATTGAACAATTGTGAGATGATCAATTCATTGGGATGGCTTATTCAGGGTTTGGGCACCACCCTCTCGAAAGGATCGAAAACGAACATCTATGAATGACAGGTGGCGTTTAACGAGAACTCACTGATTTCAGCGAGAAGTTCCGGTGAGGAGAAGGCACTGGTCATTAACAAGAACTACTGAGACTACTGAGTGGTTGTTGAGAACGGTGCCATGCGAGAAGCCAAGAGAAGCTGAGAATGGTGCTGCAAGTTTTGGGGCCTCCCCCGTGAAAGCACCTGCTGGGGGGCTGGAGCTATGTGAAAAGAGAGCTCAAACATGGAACGTGATAGGATTGAGACCAGTTCAGGCTTATTCAGTGGCCTTTTCGCATGCTGGCAAATGGCTGTGATGCAACAATAAATCCATTTATTGGGGGTGCACAGGACCCAGGATACGTTATTATCCCCCAAAGCAGGCTGCCCAGTGCTTCAGCTGAAAAAGGATGGAGGAGCCAGAGTTATTTATCATTAATTATCTGAGAAGGATTTAATAAACAGCAACTACAGCAAAAAAAGACGCTAGAACAACCTTTTGACACTTTGATGATCCTGAGACAACGTGGCCAGACACTAGGCACTAGATGGAGCCCTTCTATCTGGAGCACCCAGATGGACAAGCAGTGGAACGAACCATTCACCACCAACTCATGCGCGAACTTTGGCAGCCACCCAGCTGTCTAGCGGGAGAAGAAACATCTCCGCAAACATGGCTGGCCGAAATCGCTGAAGAAGCGATGGAGATGAGGATCTTAGGCCGTGGAAGAGTGCGTTGTGAGGACAGACCCAGGCTGCAAAAAGGATTAAGTAAACTTTGAGATCTGAGATGCATTCAGATACATGGATGAACTCTTTTTTGTAGTCTCCGTTTTGAGGTTGCTGGTTGTACTATCAGAACAGTATTTTAATTTATGTTTCCAGTGTCCAGTGCAGAGCCTTGCGGACCCATTTCCTTGAGAATGCTCTTTGTGAAGCCACCAAGTCGACTACTGACTACTGCGACTCTCGGTTCATCGTTTCTCCGGTCCGAATTGGATGTCCGGTGAATACTATGTTTGTATACCGTACTTGCCAGCGAAGGTTCGGGCTGTGGTTTGGCAGCAGGCTGAAGCAGGCTGAAGCTTCTTCGCACCAAACCAGAGCGCAGAGGGTCGCCCGCCAGCGCCGCGCGGGTCGTTCGCGGGTCTTGGGGTCGTGGGTCTTGCGGGGTCGACGTCGACGCTTGGGTTCGGCGTTCGGAGGCGAAAATGAGGGGATGGATGGAGACGAAGTGACTGTGAAGGGTTTTCACCCCACTCAGCACCACACTGAAAAAGGTCTCCAGGATCCTGGTTTTGGACACAAGGCCGGCTGTGAAGTTGCTGACTTCGGGGTGTGACCCACAGCCCAGACGCTGAGGGCTTGACCTGGAAGAAAGGTTTTTAGAAGTCCTTGGCCGACCGCAGCCATGGCTCCACTTAGGTTTGGACATCGATGGTGCAGTCCCCAAAACCCCACTGGCCAAATCCGTCCCAGTCCCCCAGTCCGACTGCTGTGGCCCTTCACTGACCTACTCAGCTGTTCATGGGTCGTAGACTCGCCATAGACTCGCCCTAGACTCGCCGGTCGTCCATAGACGTAGCTCCTTCGACACATGAAACCGTCGGTATTCGAGTGTCATGACCCACAATCAGCTGCCCCAGCCGGCGATCATCACCAGACTCTAGAGTCTCCCAAGACTGTGGAGACTTTGAAAAGCGCCGGGCTTGCCGCCATGTGCTGACCACTTCATGCCGGGCTTGCCAGAGATTTTTCTGTTGGGGGGCCTAAGACTGTTTCAACTGATGAAGATATGCAGACTCTTGATTTTTGTACCTCCCCAATGTTCAATCCAATGGGGGAGTGATTCATCAAGAGTCTACAGTGGGGTTGGCCAACATGAGTGTGTCTCAATATGTGGGTAAAGAGAGTTTTGATATGTTTTGATGCAGTTCTTGGTCAAAGCCCATCCACTGCCATCTAACAAATTCCGTGTGTGTTTGGCTGGCAGGGTCTACCCCACTAGCTTGGAAAAGCTGCCCTATTTGCCCGACGTTTTCAGCTGAGGCCGGATGTTTGTTCAACCTCGGAGGCAAGGCAAGCCTCATGGTGGCAGGGGAGCAGGGACGACGTTCAAAAAAGGCATCTGGAGGCACCGCAAGTTTTTGTTGCTTGAAGGTGTAGCCCATTGCCAGGAACAGTCCGTTTGTTTTGAACGGCCTTTACTAACCATCATCATCCGCTGTTGCTGGTAATTGGATGGATATAATATTAATATAATATCCTTTTCAGGTTTCTCTCAAGCCTTGGCCTGTAGGGGATGAAGGACGCTGACACTTCACAGCTGCACTGAATAGGCTTTTGATGCAAGTGTAGCTACTGGAGGCTGACTTAGATTCCGGACGGAGATTCTGCTGGTACCACTCAGCTGCCAGCAGCCAGCCTGTCAAGCACAGAGGCAGGCAAGAACAATTACATTCCCCACAACGGACGCTGGAAACCAGTTTGGTTTTCCAACACTCAGGAGAATCTGAGTCCAATCCAGCAAAGACCAACAAAACCAAAGCTCCTTTCGACACCAGTGATGACCGCTCTGTCAAGGTTTATACATTTGTACACCATTTAACACCCAGATCACTGATCTCAACTACTTTTGCCAATTAGCAGGCGTATGTTTCAATAGTTGCAATGGGATACTGTATACCATTAAAAAAAGACAATAGCGTCAGGAGTAAGGGGGGTCAGAACACACAAACAGGCCAAAACACTACCTTATAAGGTATACAGATATATGGTGCCAAGGCGTATGTTGCAGGCCTTGATCTCAAGTGCCCGTCAAGTACTTGTTTGTTGAGCACAGAGCGGTGATCCGCCTTCGCTGCGAGAGAAAGTCGCGCTTGCCTGACATTCCCCTACCGCCTCCTAAACAAAGTGCGTATGACAGAGTGACTTTGTACCTCCCAAATGCATGTGTATAACACTCACATATAATTAACATATTATATATTATATATATTGAATGGTGTTTTTTCTTAACACGTCTAAACGAATACGAGTCCCTTCGCACCCCTGACTCACCCCAAAGCTCAAAGCTGCGCCGACCGGCAGGCCACCAGCCCTTCAAGGACCTCGTCGGGCCGTTCCAGCGGAAGCCACCGCGGCTTCCGGTGGAAGGCTCTCGAGTGGCAGGCTCGGCTGCGTGGCAGTTTTGCGTGTTTCTGCGTGCCCAGAGGGACCTTGGTCCATTTTCCATCGCGAAACATCAGAAACAACAGCATCTTAGCTGTTTGTGCTTGTTGCCCTTGCCTTGACCGCCTGACGGAGCCTCGGCGACAGGCGACTGCGTCGGAGAGCGAAGGTGCGGATCGCGGGTTGGGGAGGATGGTCGGTGGGTGTGGGAGAAGACGAGAGGAAGAGAAGGACTTCACCAAGGACTTGTTGCCTTTTGTTTTCAAGGCGAAGTAAGTGATCACCTGAAGTGTCCGCGTTTGGTTGTTTGTTTGCACTGCTCAAAGCGTCTGCTGGAAGTGAATTGGACTACCCTGTCGGGCATCAAACCTGCTCAAACGGCATTTGTATGCCTGATAGAACTCTGCATGCGTACAATATTGGCCGAAAATGGAAAAGTGCAGATTCGGAATGCGCTAGGAACGGATGCGGTTCCTTGCTCGTTCTAGCTGGAAGGATTTCTTTCGTTACTATGACTCACCAGCATGGGCCTCTGGGGGATTGGGTCAGTGTCCAACGTCGCAACCGGACCAGTTCCTTGGCATGTTTGCTGCAAAACAGGCCCAGGCACAACCGACGGCATGCAGATTTGAAGCCACTTTATTCGAAACGATGTCAATTGCAAAGTGTTTATAGCTGCAGCTGTACTTAACCTTTGTGGTGCTTTCACCATACAATGTGCTAGTTGATTGGCCAACAAGCAGCTCACAAAGATCTACTGTTCTTTTGTGGAAGTTGCAAATGGTCCTGGAGTCCTCAAGTCTTTGTGTAGGAAGGCTTAACGCTGGATTTAGGTTGGAGTCATTGCAAACACCTCCTCTTTCTAGAGTGGGGTATAGCTGGAAGGAAGGAGCACAGATTGATGTTTCCCATGTCGCCAAGTCCAGCGCCTCAAGAAACTGTACTTCGCTCCAAAATGGGACGCATTTTGTCACCTATGTCTCCTAGAAATCTCGGGAAACCATTTCAACTTCTCAAGCTCAATGCAACACTTTCGGGGTCAAGAAGGACATATAGATATCCGTTCTCCAATTCCTTCCAACATGGCTTTGGTTCAACAATATCTCATAGCCTTGCAAAGCGGTGTGCGGTGTGTGGACTTGCTATCGTGCACCGTTTCTGTAGTTGTCTTTGATCTGTATAAGTGATTTGTAGTACTCCCAAAATGCATCTTTTGATGCATCAACGTGTACCAAATGCATCGACGGACGGTGTTTCTGTTGGTCTTTTCGTCTGGTCGGGCAGGTGATCTACCAGAGAGCGAGGCATCCAGAGAAGCTTCCAGGCGCACGATGCAACGACCTGAGGATTGGACTGAAACAGGGGTCCAGCAGCCGAACTAGTTTGATGCAGAACACCCCGACAATCAACAACCTGAACCCACAGTTCCATATGATTCCATATTCCATATATCAATCCCTATATACTATTACATGCATACATGATATGTGATCTACGGAACCCAAACAATCTCTATTAAGAAAGTTTCAGAAAAGATAGTGTTTTCAGGAGGTTGGTGCTTTGGTGTCGGGTTGTTGTTTTATTGCTGTTACATGCCTCTTAATTCTTGTGTTGCTCCCCACCCATTGTTTCTAATCCTTGATCATCCTTGTTTTGCCCTCCTCGCACTGCTGCTCAAGACCAAAACTCACGCTTCCTTATCTACAAAACCTGCAAGCTTTGCTGAGGATTTCGAATAATGGATGTCTTTAGGCCCATTTGGACCAACATACTTTGGGTAAACGCGCTTGGATTTGGTTTCCATCTGGAACAACGTCCACCCTCCAACAAATTTAGTAGTGGAAACAATGTTTCCAGACTTCTTCTCAGAAGGTTTCTTCTCAGAAGATTTCTTCTGAGGTGACGAAACTGGCAAAACTGGAGGTGTCTTGACCTTCACCTCTGAATTTGTATCTGCTTTCCCCTTGGCCTCAGTAGAGCTTTCGCGGTTTGCCGCAGGACGCTTCCGCGGAGTAAACTTGGCTGAAGGCCTTTTCACAGGAGTAGCTTGGACTGTAGGCTCCACGGCAGCTGGAGCATTTGGTGCGCCTTGTCCAAGGCTCTCCAACAAAAAAATATGTCAAAGGGCAGTCAAAAGCACACAAATTTCATCAGGACATAAAAACCTTGAAAATCTAAGAAGGTCAAAGTGACTCTGGTCCTGTGTCTTACCACGCCCACGCCCACGCCCTTTGCCTCTTCCCCGGCCCTTGGTCTCTCTACTGGGGCTTGCTTTCGGCGAAGGAGTTGCCCGAAGCAAGTCATGAACACTGTTTGGACATTCTTTCAGGCGTGCCCCAGGCGAGACTTCAGTTTCAGGTGCTCTCGAAGTTGGAGCCGGAGCCTGGGGAGAACGCATCACGCTGTTGTTCATGGTGTTCAGGATCCTAGCCTGGATGTCAATCGCCATTCCGCTCATTCTGCTGGCTAGCCACTAGCAGCTACCACACCAGCAAAGACTAAGTTGCTGTCACTTGAGCGTGCACAAGAGAATGAGTCAAACAGTCTTCAACAATCTTCAACGAAACAAAAAGTCAAAAGGCAAAGTTTGCCTCTCTCAACGCAAATTTCTGTCACACCAATGAGATCGAATTCTTTGTTCTCAAGATACTTTTCAAGAATCTATCCGACTTTTTTTACAAGCACACCCCAACTCTTGCTAACTGCTCTCATCTACAGCAAAAACTGCTGCCCCACTCACAAAAGCATCACAAAAGCGCACCTTCCCTTGCCACATCCTGCAACAACGCTTTCGCAGCGTTGAAGCGGTTCAAGATGGCATGGTTGTCCTTGGCGGCAATGATGAGACTGTCCAGGTCTTTCAAAGCCTTGTTCACCTCTGACAGAGTCATCTCCTTCTTGGCAGGCGTGTTCAAGAAGGCTCTCAGGTTGTCCCTCACTGAGCATGGATGGTGAGGTCTGGGACCATAGTTCTCCGCCTCCACAAAGGTAGTGGTCTCGCAAATCTGATCCTCTGAACCCATGCGTGCATAAAACGTCATGCACTGAAGAACTGTCAAAATTTGGATCATTTCCAAAGCAATCTGGAGATCTGCAGGGTAGTCCCAAATGCAACGTAGCTTCAGGAAACTTTCACGGATGTTTTCGTACTCAAAGTCCAAAAGCCTCGACAGCTCTGCCAGGCCAAGGAACCCCGACAGGCAATCCCACAGCTGCTTTACCTGCGTCCACAACACAGCCATGCTTTCTGCGAACTCCACGCTATGGGGACAACAAAAAAGCTGCAGCAAAGTAACTTCAAGATTTACCAACAAGTTGACTAACACCATTGGTGAGCACAGCACACTACACGTCTCAAAGGAACCCATTCTGCTGCTCCTGCTGTGAAACATTATGCTCTTGCACCAAACGTTGGCCACGTTGGCCATCAGATTAAATCCATTTTGCACACTCTGCCGCAAGGTCTCGAAGGCCCTGAGGGGCTTGCTGGCCTGCTCAGACTGACCCCAAGTTTTGTCAGTCACCGCAGTCAAACAAGATCTATCCGCAAAGCCTTTGTCCTGCTTTGTCCACATTGCTGCCTGCTTTGCAGTTTCATTGAAGGTGTTGTGTTTAAAGGTGTTTGTTAACCAAATGTCAATGAAGACGTTGTGGTCATACTTACTTTAAAATGTGAAGGTGTTGAAACCCAACCGCAAAAGGCAGGATACCTACGCGATGCGTATTTTTGACCCTCTATATGTGGCTGGTCCAAAGCTGCAAGTTGCATGCTGTTCATGGTGTATCCAAAACAAAAGGAATCAATGAAGCGAACAAAACACATACAAACATCAAACATGGAATTAAACCCTCTGGAACTTGGAGCACCACAAAGAGGATCCTGCAAAACTGTTGCATCACGCTTTGCTGATTTTCAAAGGTTGGTTTTGTTTGAGGGTCAGCACTCTATTGGTGATGACGTATGGGCGCTGTACCTTAAAGTTCTGGCCCACTCTCTCAAACCTATACCTGAAAATTTTGGATACAAGGCCATCACCACCGCCAACTCCCGATCCTGCCAAACCTGCCAAGGCCTTCGCAAAAAAGTTCTTCGAGGTCACCTTATCTTCATTGTCTCCAACTCTCGGGTCCCTCATGCATCGAAACGTCATCGGCGTTTTGATGGTCACATTAAATCCATCGCAGCCAGCCTCCTCCAGGGCTGCATCTTCCTTGCGGCTGATGGTGAGGAAGCTCACACGATGTTCAACAACTCCTTTCTCGCGCTCCGCGCGAACAAGGAGCTTGAAAAGAGTTGATGTCGAGACCCCTTGACCCTCAGAACTGAAGCTAGCCTCGTCCAACTGGACAAGGGTCCGATCACTTGGCATCACAAAGTCGATCCCTGGCTGGCTGTCTGACTGAGACTGGGACACCCATTGTCCTGTTCCGAATCCTCCCAAGACGGTGCACTTTCCGATGGACCGGTCCTGAGTGGAGCAAAGCCAAATGCTGGAGTCTTTGGCCAAAATCAGCTGCACTGAGGACACCTCGGAGTTGCACTTAACCTCAATCCCAAGGGTCTCTTCCAACTTTGAAACCGACTCAAGCTCAACCATCTCAGTCGCTGATCCAGCCGCTCCAGCATTCTCTTCAGACTCTGGCTCGGCTTCTGCTTTCTCACTCCCAACTGCACAACGACCAATCAGCTGTTGGTGCTTTTCGCGCAGCTCTTTGTACTGATCACCGATCACTCCAGTCTGCATCGACCAGAACTTGTGTTCGTCCACCTTTATGGTAAAGGTGGTGCCGGGGCCAGTGCGCTCTAAGACCTCAAACTTCATTTTGTCCATATCCTCCAAGGAAGATCCAGGGATTGCCTCCAGGTCAGCGGCCGTCAATGCTGGTGGCTCCATGGTAAACTGCTGGCCTCCATGGGAGAAGCGGCGAGTAATCCACGCATCTGTCACTTCTCGGGTCAACCGAGCATGCCCAAAGCTCTCTTTGTTCAGGAACCAAATGCTGTGGTAGAAAAGGTTGCTGGTTTTGAAGCCACCTTTGTATTCCGCATCCTTCAACCGCAATTCCAATGCCTGAGATCACAAACGCAGGGAAAAGTTTAAGGTCTGTGCAGCTAAGTACCAATTACTAAACCTAATCAAAAGAGAAGCCAAAAGTAGCCGGGTTCAGGCTCCAGGATGACCTTTAATGATATTGTTTCGTTGTGATGGTTTTCACTGCTGCTAACGCCTGATTTAAAGTCTTACAATATCTTATAACAATGCAAACCAATATTGGGCTTGGTGATGGGGTTGGCTGGTATTAATATGCATAAATTATTTAATACATGTTGTGCAATTTGTTTCAGCTGAAGCGTTTTAGCCGCCTTGTTCCAACAAAGGCTGTGACAAGCGCAGAGCCACACATTCCACCCTATGATAGATAGTGGCGATAGTAGCATAGCATAGTTATTGGATGGCGATATACTCAGAGCACTAAGGCTCTGGATGTGTCCTCAACCGTCGGTCACGCGCGTTGTATATAGTAGGTCCGTGTAAACCCCATGTCCAGGATCCCAAATGTTTTTCCAAATTTATTCTTGTTTTAACTTACCCTTAGGTGCTTGAACCTCTAGGATTAAACTCTGGAATGGAGAGTGGAACAACTTGAAGGAGAGTGTTCCAAATAAGTGTAGACAAAGGACAGCACATCCAGCATCTTCAATGTATCCAGTGAGGTTCAGGATCACCACGCACTTGTTCTTGAGCAAGCTGGTGCCACTCATTGTGAGCATAGACTGAAACAATGCCTCCCACCTTTTGGTTCCCTTCTGAGCCGAACATGTTTCGACCGAAGGTCGGACTCGCTCAGCCTGTTTCAGGTCTGCCTCTGCACTCAAACTTTCTGGAACTATGATGTCCCTGCTAAGTGGCAGCAGCAAAGCATCGCTCGACAATGGCCGTCCTGCACACCCAAGCTCTGAGGCATTTGCAAATGGGTTGTCATCGACACCATCAACGTTGCACGCAATTCGCCCGGTCGAAAAGCGCCTGCAGGGCACCAGCCAGCCAAAAAGAACCAATGACTAGCTGCCACACTGAGGGTGCAACTCTAACAAAATTGACAAGTGACCATGAGAAAACAAATTTCAGTATCACAGGCCTTCTGTTGGTCTGTGCATCAGCGGCAGGGTGTATGTCGAAAGGGCATACCCATCGAGTGTCGCACACCTGCCTGGAAGACCAGAGCAGGCCCTGTAGTTCACTTTCCTCGTCAGCTAGTCCTCGCTTGCTGGTTTTCTTGGCGTGCTCCGGCAGCTCGATCAAAGCAGCGTTCCTTTGTGGGCAAAGGTCGTTGTTGAATTGGACCAAGGAAACCAACTCAGCCATCCGTTCTGAACTCTTGGCGCCGGGGACATTCAGGTCGACAATGCAAATGTAGAAAATGTCTGTCTCACTGCATCCTGCTGCCTGTGCCTCGGGACCCCAACAGAAGTCAAGAAGATGCTGTTCCCCATTTTGGAAAAAAGGTGTCAACATCAAGCCTCAAGCTGACAAAATACAGTTATTAATTGTCATAACTTATAATGATGTCGTAGAAGGAACTCTTGGAACTGCACGATAACGAGTATACGGTAAGTTTGAACCACGGTGCTACAAACGATCTGTATTCACTGATTCGTTGTTGTGCCAGTTCAGCCTTGCCGACCACCTCACAACGCAAGAACTTGTCCATGTATGCCGAAACCACTCGTTCTCCTAACTGCGCCTGTTGGAGTCTCCAAGCAGTAGCTTTGCGATGCTTCAATGATTCCACCTTCTGGGGGGCGTCCTTGACACACATGAGCTGCCGCTGATCTCTGGCTAGTGCCGCTTGAAAGTATGCCCACCTGGTATCCCGAACCTTCAATCTCTCCTTCTCGACATCCATTGTCGCACCCTCCTCTTGGATGCGCGCTTGCTCCAGAGCTTGCTTTTGAGCACATGGAAGCATGGAAACCCCAAACGCTGGCGGGCGAAGCTCCATGATCTCCTGAAACTCCGCATCCTTTGAGTTTGAGGTCGACACCAACCTGTCAAAGTCTGCAAAGTCATTCATTCTCGATGAACAAAACTGTCTCACCTGCGTCCAGAAGCAAATTCGATTTCTCAGCAACATGAGCTCCTCTTCAGCCATCCGATACCGTTTCCTGTCAGATGGCTGCTGGATGATTGCTGTGGCCTTCTCGAAGCTGATTCGGATCCGCGCGAAGAGGATGGCCTGACTCATATCTGTCATCGGGAGGTTCCAGTTGATGGGGATGGTGTCCTCGCCAGCTGCCGCGACAAGTGCGCTATCCGAAGGGCAAGGCACAGAAACTTGGGATCCAAGAAAAAGCGCAGCCATCACTGATAGTTGCTCTCCAAATGGTCCATATTGGAACGGACCGTCCCTCAAAGCAATCTGCACTTCAAGCCGAGCACTATCCGAAGTCATCTCCAACCAATGCTTTATGGCATACTGTTTCTTGCTGTCCAGGTAGAGGCTTCCGGCGCCGGATTTGTCCTGCAAGTGAATGAGACCACAGGGTGGCCAGCTTCCACTGACCCGTTGACTACCCTTAAACTTATAAACAAGAAGCTCCGAAATCTGATCCCCACACAGTCCTTCGAACTGGCACCCCCATGCGCTTGCACTTCAGGGTTCGCATTGTAGAGATCGATCGCTTCTGCCACTGACAACTGCTTACCATTCTTGCGGAGGCTCGCAAGTATTTGAGACCACTCAAAAGAACTCACCGGGAGCTTCTTTGAGTCGACGTTCTGGCGGATAATCCGCTTGATCATGTTGGACGATTCATCTGAAGCAGCAGATTTGAAGCACGTCGGAAGATGCAACAAAGATCTCGCCAGCTCAACCACACTTGGATGGACGCACACGTCCTCTGGAAGAGATGCCACAAAGTGCACAAGGCCACACCAGCATAGTCCACACGCTAGGCCTCTCATACCACCATCGTCAAAGCGCAGTTGACCTTGCTTGTAGTCGCCGTCGAGGTTGATCTGGTCGTCTGGGACTAGCCGGGCGCCAATGATTTCTCCCTGGGCAACAAGCCGCTCACATAAGGCACCAAACTGGATACACATCCAAAAACAAAATGCAAAAAACTAAATAAGTTCCATAGAGTCCTTCAAGTCTGAAGGTTCCCAACAAGTCATTTTTGAGATCAAGAGGTCAGGATATTGACCCATATTGACCCTAGATACCAGACATGCTTCCCAAGTCCCCCGTGAAGGTTTTTGCTAGCCACTTTGCCTCTTCGATTTGACCTGCCCGGGCGGCGAGCTCTTCCCGGAAGAGCTCTCCACCCCCCCTTTCCCAGGCTTGATTATTTTTTTTGCTCTCAATCCTTCTTCTTTTCTTTTCTTAAGGAAAGCTATTCATTCCCTTCCTTCTTCCTTTCTTTTCTTAAGGAAAGCTATTCATTCCTTCCTTCTTCCTTTCTTTTCTTAAGGAAAGCTATTCATTATCTTTACTAAGAAAAGTAAAGCTAATGATGGATCGGTGGGAGCAGACTGACCACATCTTGGGGCGGCGAGCTCTTCCCGGAAGAGCTCTCCACCCCACCCCCCCAAAAAAAATGTCAAAGCGGCTAGCGATTTCCCTCACGCAGTCCTTGCTTTAAAACTTTCAAAATATCAAGTTGAGCACCCAAACATGTCACAGAGCCTGGCCTCCCGCCAGCCCACCAAAGCAATGGACTTAGCAATATCCAGAACAGTGGCCATGTCCGGCTGGCGCCAAAAAGAATCGCTGCGAAAGCTCCACTGAAAGATGGAAGTAGAAATGATCGAGCCTGGGGCTGGCGGAAACTCCTGCCAATGTTGAAACTGTACTTTAAGGTAAATTATTCCACAGGACAAAGTCGTGTCAGCCATGATCATATGATGACTATTGATGGTCCTGTATTGAATTGTACTAATTTTGGTCACTACCATCAGTCCTTCATGGTCAAAAACTTGTCCAGGAAATCTTGCTCGCTGGCATCAGCTGCAAGGATACCAATCTTTTTCACAAAGTCAAAGCTGGTCTCCATGAGAGATTCTTCATCTCCCCAACAGCGCTGCACAATGTCGAGGAAAGAGCCGCCACGTTCGATTGGAAACTTACGGGGTTCCTCATGACCATGCCTTCCCTGATAGCATTGAACAATCCAGTCTTTCAACTGAATCCTGGCAGGGCATACCTCCGAAAGCGTTTCTGGAGCCATGTTGGACGTCTTGTTGTTGGTGCCCATGGTCCGCTGCCGCTTTTTGGGCGCCATGAGCAAACAGGATCTAGTGACAGGAAGTTGAGACCTGCCCAAATCTCACAAACATATACAATAATATGCAGAGTGTCTCTCAACCAACATTTGGGAATGACGGGAGGAAGGCAAACAAAGAACTTCGAATGTTTCTGGCGCTCATCTGACAATGTCTGCCAAACTATGACTCTGAACAAACCGCAACACCAAGGCGAGAGCTCGGCGTCCATTGGTTTGACGTCGAATTAGGAATCTTACACATTGTGCACCTTCATTCAAGGTCAGAAAGGCCAGCAGCCTGCCAATTGCCCAAGACGCTCAGCAATGCTGCCAAACATACTGGAACTGCGAACCTGGGTGATCAAACAATTCCTTGTCTTGGGTACCAGTTATTCTTGTCGTTTGTTGCAACTATAGTTGTTAAGTGGCGGTTTATAACGCTCAGAACCCCACGCATTGCCTGCAAACCCCCGGATCAAGCGCTCTGGCTCCTTGCCCATCTCATACTTTTGCCAATCCGAAAAACCAACGCCTTGAAGAGCAGCGACCTCCTGAACAAAGGTGGTGGCTTAGGGCGTTAGGGCACATCTGGAAACTGTCCACAAAGTCCAAAACACATGTTCAGAAAACTCATGAAAACCAAAGGTAAACATCTCTCCTTGGCTGACACTTGCCGAAAGCGACCAGGACCAGTCAGGACATACTTTCCGCCAGGAATTACGCAACTTGAGGTTGAGATGGCCGTTTTGGGATAAACAGACCGGTCAAAGTTCTGGTCCTGAGTCTTGAAACAGCAGGGAAACTCCCTACCACAGGGAAACGCCATTTAATCAACCAAAACTCCCAACTAAGCATTGGCTGCAGCTCATGTTGTTAAAAGCTGGAAAACAGTAGGTCCCCCACAACCTGGATAATCATCAACACCTCCATGGCGTTGACACCATGCTCCTGAGCCAATTGCTCCACAGCAGCCGCCAAGATTGCTGTTTCGCGCGGCGTGCACGAAGTTGCAAGTGGTTCGAGGTCCTTCACCCTTTGCAAGAGTTTGGCCTCCAAAAAAAAATCAAAGCCAAATAAGCAATCTTCTATCTGTCAACCTTCTGATTGATTCGTCATCAGTTGCATTGGTTGTTTAAAGCAGCTTACAAAGAGCAATATGTGTTTTAAACCTGGTTTAGTCTGAGCGCACCTTGCCATAGATCTCACACTGGCTCTCAAATCCGGCTTTCCACTTTGGATCGTTCTCTGGAGTCTTCTTGGCCGCGACATTCTTTCTCTCCTTCGACACGTTAAGAGTCATGTCCACGCAGAAGGCAAGAGGAACACTCAACCGCCGAAAAAGGTTCATGTCTGCAGAAAGGTGGTTGGTCGAGGTAGCAAGCTCACATTCCTGGACACAAAGCAGCCATGCACGGCGCCGCTGCTGTGGAAGCCCAAAATCAGCCGCGTTGTATTCATCTCCATGCACTGCATAGCCAAGCTTGCCCAGGCGCTTGGCAATGACATCATACCTCAATATGAGTCCAAAAAAGTCAAACATGTTTTAAACATTCAGTATAATATAATATATGGGTCAATTCACTTGCTTCCCACTAGCCTCAGCTTTGGGAGGAAAACACCATAAAACATCGCGTCATGGAGGAAAAAATGACATTGCTAGAAACGCTGACTGTCCATCTTCGACTTCCCGCTTCGAAAACAAAGAGCCAACATTTTCCAGGAGTAGCAGCCGGGGGCGGTGCTTCTTGACATACCCTTCGAGGCCTAAATAGCCGCTCCCACTGCTGCAAGTCTTGTCGACCACTGACCCAGGAGTCGTCGTGAGCATGCTGACGCTCACGCAAGGGAACCCCCCAACCAACAGGTCCACCTGGCGGGATAACAGTGACTGTCATAATATGTTATTGAAGGGCCCTCCTCAAAATCCATGTCAACCCTACTAAAAATCAATGTGAGTTTAATCCATGGATTGAGAATCAAAAGAAGCAAAATAAATCTTCCAACCAAACCTCTGGCCTGTGGAACTCTTGCAGTCATGCCATCCCATAGCCGAGCAGTTGGTTTCACGGTCTCTGTGACATCATTGAACAGGACCGTGTTGGGGAACCTTGAAGCCAGGTAGCCTTGCTTGCGCGCATCGTTCTCCGCCATGAACTTGACGTCCACCTGAGGATGATACAAAACAGACCGGTAATCCCTCAACAGCGATGACAGGAGGTTTTTAACATACTCATGAGCGAAACGAAAGCTTGCAAAGATTCATCTGTCAAAAAGACACACACACACACATCAATTTTGCCACCGAATGCCTTAAATTGGCCAGGTAGAGCCCAATGCTCTTCCAAACTGCGGCATATCATCTCAAGAACGCCCCAGCCCGAAAAGAAGCTGCCTACCCGCAAGACACCAATCTTGTCAAAGTTCCTGGCAACCCGCTGCAAAAGATCTGCGAAGGTTTCGCTGCGCATGACATCGCACACGAAGGCATCGATCTTAGTTGGACCAATGATTACACCATTCTTGATGCACCAAAACCTCTACCCTATAACCCTGTGGGAAAAATCAACAATGGTTCAAAATTGCATTCAAAAGTAAAATAGTGTTGATTAAGGAGTGCCAAGGATCGCAGGGTTCTTTGTCCAGCGGAGGCTGCCACCCAGAAGCTGTCTCGTTGTCGTCACCAGATTCCAAAAGTATGTCCTCGTCTGAACCTGAATCAAGTAAAGTCGGATTGGGATCAGTGCAACATCTGAGAAAGTTGAAAGACTTCCAAACCTAGAGAACCCAAACCATCACCCTTTTGTGATTCCACAACACGACAAAGTCATCCGGCCTGGCAGATCAGTCTGATCACCTTCGAGATCTGAAGACAACAGTATCTCCGTGTCTGGCTCCTGGTCCCGCTCCACTTTCCTCCTGGCACATGGCAGGAAACCCTTGCCCCCCAAACTATTCCAGGACGAACGGCTAAGTGGCACCTCCTTTTTGAGGCATTCAGCAGCTGCCTTGAGCAGCAGGGTCAAACCTCAAATCCAACTGGCAACTCCACAGCACCATCGGAGTCAGAACTTTCAGACCCCGCAGCATCAGGGTCTGGTTGGGCAGACAAATCAAAATGCCTCACCCGATGAGGCCGCAGCCAGGAGCCAGGATGGTAGATTTCATTCCTCATTTCTCGGTCGTATCTGTGATTCAGGATGCAATAACTTGTTGGTCTGGGCTCGTGAGGCAATACGCAAGTGCTCCATTTCAACAAGTAGTTAGCACCTGCCCCTGTCAACTTCCCACTTCGTGCCAGTTTGGGAACTCTCTTGGAAATATTCCGACTGACTTGCTCTGTAATGGCTCTCCGGTCTGCAACACCTGCTGGTGGATGGTACCCTAGCCGTATCTGCGTAGCCACAGCTGCTGGCACAACAACCATGGCACGCAACACTTCTGAATCCGCCAGCCAGCGTTTTGTCACCAAAAAGACATCATCTTCATGTGGCAACCGTCCGCGTCCAAACTCCTCCAAATTCAAAATGTTATCCAAGATGTTCGACCCCAGGTCCTTGCGAAGAGTAAATTTAAAGTAGTGCACATGGCGCAATCCCTTGAAATTCAGGCTTGTTTGGCGGACAAATTCTTTCCACAGAGCTGTTTGGTCCAATTTCACTGCATCAGCATTTGCACCCCGGAGGCGGCCAGACTTCTCACCAGGTTCTGCAGCAGACCTGAAACATTCATTGAGTAGACTGAGCACCTCCTGATCAGACATGAGAGTCTTGCCAGCCAACAACCTGGAAATTTGACCAAAAGCCTGGTCCACATCCTCGTGGGAATGGGAAACCCTTAGGAATCCCATAGTCACCACTCTTGCGACTCCCAGCAGTTGTAGCATCAATAGGAAATTGAGCATGTACTTGTTTTTTGCCTCTCTATATGTATTGTCATGTTGCAAGTAGATGCCTAGAGGCATTGACCCGCAACCAGAGAGAATGTCGCAAAGTGACTTGCAAAGAACCTCAATGCTGGTGACACTGTTTTTTTTCATATCCTCGCAGCTGAGGTGTATTCCAAGCTTCCACCCATGTGCCCAAGATGCCACCAAATGTAAAGCAGGCCTATAGAGTTTTTCAGCGTCTTTACTCATACGCCCATACCCCCAACGAGGTATCCTCAGCTTACTCTGGTCCATTCCGTCTTGAATTATAGTAACCAAAGAACTCGACAGGTCGGAGCTGAACTTTTTGGAGAAGTGTAATCCCTGTGAGAAGTACTGACGCGACATGGATCGTTGACTCCAATAAAAAACACGATCCAGCCATTGTGCCAAAAGATGCTTTGAATACAGCCTTGTGGCCGCTGCCCGGTCGAATTTATTTCTTGATTGTCTAATCTTCCTCCGCAAATTGAAGCAAACTGTGCACTGCGAAAAACTGCCCTTGTCTCTAAACTTCAGGTGGCAGCCAAATATCGATTTCATCAGTCTGCGAAAGGTGCTGAAGGAAGCAGGAGGATCGTTGATCGCTTCACAGAAGCTTTGATACTGCATAAACAGATCAATTGGCCTCATCCACTCGAGGTACCTGGCCGGTCCTGAGAATGTACCTGGTCCACTGCCAGGGCTTACCTCACAAGGTTTCCCCCCACAAAGCACTGACAACCCTAAGTATCGTTGAAATATTGCAAAACAAAAACATTTCATTAGGCAAATCCGCGCGACTGTATCGTAGTTGTTTTCGAGGGTTCTCATGAACTGGCTGATATATCGGTCCTGGAAGTCAGGGTCCGATGCCACTCGAGTTTCTGCCAGTTTGCCCACTCCAATAGTAGTTGGCATAACGAAATTGGTGGGTAGAATTTCCGCGCAGCTGACATACAGCAACCAAAAGAACGACATGATATTGGGCCACTTCTTCTGCAGGGAAGAACGCACAAGAGAGGTTCCAAGAGTAGCGTGCTTTGGTTCCTCCATCCGTCCATCCTGCATTGTGTAAGCTCGATGGCCCTGGCGCAGTTTCTGAACAGCACCTGAGCCAATGGCATACAGCCTCATATGTGCCCTCTTGCACACATCTTTGCCCAAAAATTTCAATGTTTGGGATTTGGTTCTTTCGGCATACTTCCTTCTCTTGGCCGCTTGCTCGGGAACATCAGATTCAACCTCTTGGTCAGAGTCTGTCATTAGCAGAAGCTCCTGCACCTCATTCTCCTCAGGGTGACTGGGTCCAGCTTCACACTCAGAGTCAGTTTCGAACAAGATTTGGTCCTCACAACGCTCGTCGGCCTCAGAGTCTGTCTCCAACAAGAGTGCCCCATCAGACTGTCCAGCAGGCTTGGCGTCTGAGAGCAAAGTAACCGGTGCTATATTGTACCAATCTCGAAGGAGGGCTTCCTTATGTCGTCTTGTGTCTGAAACCAACAGTATATTATTAGACTTTGGGCCATGAAAGATTAGAGGAAAAACTATTAAAATCATATAGTAATAATACATAGGCTGGGGTCTTTACATAGCGCATCTAGCTGTTGATATCTGCTTCTCTCACATTGCACCGACGCTGCATCATCTGCGAATTGCAGGAAGCAATTGACTCCACTGCAGGTACATTTACTCCCCGGCAGGTTTGCGATGGTCAATTGTTTGGGCATTAAATAAGAGCGTTCAGAAAATGGCTGCAGCTGAAGGATATTACAATCAATAGAGATCACAAATGCCAACTGGCCAACTTGGTGAAAGAGAGGTCAAGCTGGATCTAGGCACACCAATTTCAGTCACAATTTATTGTGAATAAAATCTATTTAAATTGTTCATGTTGTTGGGTACTCACTCGGAGCTGGGTGCCTGGGAACAAAAAATGTGATCCCGCTTACTCACCACACCTCCAGTCCCCCGACCCAACCCATCAGAGCTCCTGGAAGTTGGTCGCTTCAAAGCTGCAGCTGGTCTTTTCAAAGCTGGCCGCTTATTTACCATTGCGCACGTCAAGGCAACTGACCTGGACCCTGATCTCCAAACACTCTTAAGCCAGCGACCAACAGATCAGCACGACTTCCCATCTCCAAAACACCAAAAGTTTGAAAACACTAACTTTTGCGACACTTCCTTTATTCTGAAACGTTAACTCCCTTACACGTCAAACTTGAGCCACAAAACCAAACCCGCAAACACCCTCAATCACTCATATATTTCGTCTTCTGTATATATTTAGAAGACTGGATGTTCGTTGACATGAAATGGTCGCTTTTGTGTCCACCTTGTTTCACCTGCTTGGGATGAAATCTCTCATTGGAGATCTAAAGTTCCAATCAAAACAGGTCCGAAAGGCTTCGATCGCGAGCACTGCATGCCATGGGTACGCTAGCACTGGGACTCTAGAACTCGAGGTACAGAAAAGGAACAGGGCGGTAGTTCCGGGCGTTCGCCAGGAGTAGTTCCATGGGCAGTTGGAAGCCTAGTTTCCGATCCAGTCCGATCTAGTCTGCGCATCGGGCTGGCAATGGCAGGTTTGACATACCTGTCGTTCGACAGATATCAAGACAGGTTGATGTTCATCCCCCAAGCTATGGCCAAAAGGATAATCCCAAGCTCTGTTGATGTTCATTTTCAGTTTTTCACTGATCAGATCCATTTCTTGTATGCGGGTGCATTTGGAGGCCATGTTCTTTGACAGCTTGACCTGGTGTTGCAGTCTAATTTCATCATAAGACGGTAAGACTTGGCTGACACCATCAATGGCGGGTGCAAGCACATCATCACTGACAATCTAAAGACTGATCAATACCCTACCCCATCAGTGGACAACTTGCACAACCTTTTTGTTTAATAGTTTCCCCCCAAAAGAAACAGTCGGAAATCACTCTGAGGGGGTCAGTGGAACTGGACAGTCCGACAGTCACTCTCTACGGAGTGGTCTCCTTCGTGAGCCGACACGAGACGTTGCGTACGTCTCGCACGTCGGTTCCCGAAGGGTCGCCACTCTTCGCAAGTCGAAGGTCCGGTCCAGACCAGGACTTCCAGACTCTTCGTGTTCGCACGAGTTCGGCGAATCCGCACGACTCTGGTGAAACAGAGGAAAAACGGCGCACGCACTGGCAGTCCGAGGTCTTTTTTTCGGGGTGCATCGAAGCCACCTGTCACTTGGGGTAACTTGTGCCATCGAACCTCTGAAACCACTATACCCAATGGTCTTCCGCCAGTGGTGTGAAAGGAAACCGTCAGCCAAGGCCAAGTGTCCTGCATCTCCCCGAGGCACCGCTTCAGCGCAGATCTCAGGAATCACATGAATCACATGGTTTGTTACCTTTTTTTCCTCATTCCTTTGTAAAGGGAAAATCAGAGGAAGATTATGTCCCATTGGGATCTCCCATTCATTAGATGAACGGATTCTGGATTTCGACTAAGAACCGGCGATGATCCCCCGAACTCTTTGTGAAAGGTGGTGGAAATCCAGTGAGTGTGTCCACCAAACCCATCAACACCGTCCAACTGATCAGTGGGTTGTGAAGAATCTGCCCAGACAGAGCCGAGGGACGGTCGGTCTCCATTTTTGGAGACGGTCTGTGGTCAAGTTCGAAGAAGAGACGGTTTTTGGTCACTTTTTGGAGACGGTTTTTGGAGACGGTCTTTGGTCTTGGAGACGGTCTTTGGTCGAGTTCGAAGAAAGTATAGCTAAGGGGGAAGCCACGGTAGCTCGTTCTTCGGCGACCTTGCGGCCGCTTGCGGCTTCCAAGGCTGGAAAGCGCCCTCCCGGTCCTGGTCGCCCGAAGAAAGGCCGGCGGCCATTTGGAGGACGGGTGGAGAAGGGTCCCATGTTCTTTTCTTCTGTGATTGTTTCTATCAGTGATGGCCTCCATCCTACTAGCGATGGCCAGCAATGATGTCCAAGCTAATGCATGGGGGCGTTTACCTTTATGTAATCATGTCGACCATTATTTGGATGTTGGAGTATTTTGGAATGTTTGCAGACTGATGGTATTTGGTCGTATCGAGGAACCTCAACGACTTTGCGGTACTCGCGGTGGACCACAGACCCTTCTTCCGCTTCTGCGCAGGTCAGACACTGACGCGCAGGCAGCGATCCTACTACAGGTCGTCAGTCCGACTGCACTGTGGGTCGGGTCGGGAGCGCGGTGCAGGGCGGGGTTCCGGGTGCATTCAAAGCTGGATTCAGTATATACATTCAAAATCATTCAAACACAATGCCTCACCCAGAAGTCGGCACTCTGGAGTCGTTCTTCGTTTTTTCATGTTTTTTCCTTCATGTTCTTTGCTTTTGATATTCTTGGGTTTTTTTGGACTCGGAGGTAGGAAATATATGGAATTGGCAAATCAATTGATTTGCTGCATATTGTGCAGTGCACACAAGAACCATGGACCACAAGAATTGGTGGCCAGGCGCACTGGCGGGGTACCATGGCAGCGTGGCAGCGTTTGGCAGGGGTTCAGTCCTTCCGAAGGCTTGAAGAACGAATTCAGAATACATATCACATCGTAATTAGATCACTTCAGGGCATTTTAACGGCTAAATTTGTGGAATTGCATGGAATTGCTGAATTTCTTTGACTTGATCTCATGTCATTTCCCAACACCAATTCTGCTTGCAGTTTCTTCGACCTTCGCCCTTCGAGGTCCGTCGGCTGCACCGGAAGCACCTCGTCTCGGCCGCCGTGCTGGTCGCCCACCTGCGTGCCTGGCACATGGGTCGGCAGGCCGGTCGTGACGAAGAAACGTTCCCCACAAGCGAAGCACCCAGCGTGACCGGTGCGTGGTGGGGTTCGTGAATGGACACCTCGAATTTACGGGATTTTCCTGGGCACCAAAGAAAATAAGAACACCCCGAATCAGTGGTGCTGGAAGCGGTTTGCTCCGGTTTGTACCACGCCTTAACACGCCTTAACCCAGATGCGGTTTGTTCCGGTCGCGGTGTGCCGGCCTCGGTTTGGCGTGGTTCAGGGTTTGGCGTGTGGCATTGGGGCGTATCGGAGCGTTCCGAAGGTTTTCAAGCTGGGTTGGAGCAATTATGTGATCGCATGATAGTATGTATATATATACTATATAGATAGGTTCGAGGCCATCGCTACTAGGGTGGAGGCCATCGCTATGAGAAACAAAGCAAAAAGACTAAGAGCACTACCAAGAGCATAACATGAAGTATTTCAGCGGGTAGATGGTCCAATTGGCTGGGAAGCGTCATAGCCAGTGTCCTTTCATTTCGGAAACCTGCGTGGAGAAGGAAAATGAAGATATCATGGGTAGAACCATGGTAGAACCATGGAGAACCTCCAAGCAGGTTGGTCCAACTTGTGTCACTTCTCAACTTGGTGCTCCCAAGATCTCCCGATCGCATCGAAATTGGGTGCATGGATCGGGAATTTGGACGAGATGTTAGATTTTGAGTGGAGACCCCTGTAGACTCTGTGCGCACTGTTGCGGAAGAGAATGTAAGAGAGATATAAACCCCTTATGTTGGGCAATGGCAGCCATACATGACCAACCTTCAAATAATTGTGTTTTGCAAAAAAACAAAACAACATGCAAATGAAAATGCAAAAGCAGCGCAATTTGCTTTGTTTTTGCATTTGTTATGCTTTTTTTGCTTTTTTCCTGGTACCACTTCTGCACTTATAAGAACTTTTACTCGTCAGCAATATTTGCTGTACGCTCCTAGGAAAAAACAGCGAAACAACAACGAAAATAAAGCGACAAAAAAAACAAAATAAAGCGGAAAAAAAAACAACAAAACAAGTGAAAAACAAAGCGACAAACACGCACAGCTACATGTTTTCTTTTTTGTGTGCTTTACCTTTTGCTTTTTTTTGCTTTATATAGATATTTTGGCTCCTTGTATCTATGACTGGCGCGCCCGACATAACAAAACCCCTTGGAAGACATGACAAGAAGGCAGAGAAGAACACTCCTATAGTGCTTGTACCCTGCTGGCAGCCTTCACCAAGCTTGCCGCATCTTGCCGTCTTCACGCAGGAGCGGAAGTGTTTCTTGCGCTTGAAAGCGGCCGTGCTGCGCTTGCAGCGCTTCCTGCGCGAGCGGCGGAGCTTCCAAACAGAGGAGGAGCTGGAGTGCCGGTGTAGGGGTCCGCCGGTTCATGCGTGCTGGGTCTTTTCCGGGTTCTTCTTGGATCGCTGTTTTGGTTGAGGTATACGGTATATCATCAAAAGTCAGATGATCTCTCTCTCTCTCTCTCTTGTTTGTGGATATTTGAGTGGACATGGAGTAAGATGCTGCATTTGCACCAGCTGACAGGTGTCGAAGACGCTAACAAAAGGATTTGCATAAACGATGATGATCGAAGACTTGCACTTTGTCCACTTGGGAGGGCGTGACATAGTACAAAAAGGGTGCCATATGTAATGTTGTAAGGGTGAACGGTTTGTGCTCAACAAGTCTGCAAAACAGAAAAAGGCATCACATGGAGTGAAACCAGACGGACGGCACATACCTCGGTCTTTCTATTTTTTTGTGACGTCGTAGCGTTTGAAACAACCAGCACCCGCCCGCCCGTGAAGTCGTCCAGCCGTGCGCGACCGTGGCGCCAGGAATTGATGACCTCAGAGATGTTGGTCTCCTGTGAGGCCATCGGAGCTTGTGGTTTGTGCGGTTTGTGGTTTCGGGGCGAAGCAAAGAGATTGGGGTTTGAGGCTCACCTCTTTGGTGTTTGAGGTCAGCCAAGCTCTATCCGGTCGATCTGCGATCTACGTACTTCAACTCCGGGTGGTTTGGACCCGCACCAGGCATATAGAATTAACAGCGATAAAGACAATTCATGGCCAACACATGCCAAGTTACGCTGTTCACCTTCCCCCAAAACGGCGGTTTTTGTTGGTGCCATCGCTTTCTTGTGGGTTGGATGACTCGTCGTGAGTGCGATTTCTCACGAGCAAAACGGGAGGCACACCATATGAAATAGAGGCAACTATACCTAAGCAGTGCTTGAACCATGGGGATGTATCAGTTTCGTCCATATCGATACCACTTGGCCAAACCTTTCAAAAAGACTCACCCAAACAAACTACACCCCGGCTTCCAACACTGACTTCTGTGGGCTCTTCTTGTTCAGGAAACCACAGGGCTGGAAAACCCTTGTCCTCTCCGAAGAACTCCCTGTCAGGTGGGTCCGGAGATCATTGAGGTGATGACCGAGGGAACGGAGGGAATGTGACTTGCTTGGGCGAGGGGGGGAAGAGAAGGACCATCGCTGGGTCGTTTGTTGGTGCACATGCACCGCACAGACTCATCCAGGTTTTAATGACGGGAAGGTCCCATAGAAGAAGCAGATGAACGGAACCACCTGGGGTCACCTGGCCCTTTGGATGGATCGTGTTGAACATCTCTCCAAGAGAACGTTTTCAAGCGCGTCGGTATACGTGGGCTCCGCCCAGGTCAGCGACAGTGAAGCCTGGAGGCTGTGAGACGGTTCGAGCGATGGACGTTCCATCAACGGAGCAGAAAGTATCAGATTGAGGGGCATCTTGTATAGACCAATTTAGACTGTTACCAGATAGGAAAGTGTTTATATAGATGGATATACCCACCAACTCGGCGGAAGTGGAAGTCTGGCGTTTGGGAAGAAGATGTTTTCGCCACCAGAGTCATCGAGAGGCACTTGGAATCCACCTCTGGGATTTTTCAAGTTTCTCAGAAGTGCAGGGCTCGAGGGCTCAGACATTGCTCGGTTTACATGGGTTTTTGGTGGTGTTCCCTGAAAACTCTTGGAGAGAGCTTTCTCTCACCATGCAAGAATCATGGTTATATATATATATACACATGTTTGCAGTGAAACAGATCCAATTGATGATTGTAGACATTGAGATGTATTGGTCACATCCTCTTCTCTTAAATAAGTCCACGCCATATGAACACTTCAATTGCGCGCCATGCGCCCTGCACAAGTTCCTGTCAGACCAGGCTGCTACGTCCGCCCAGCGCTTCGGGGAGCGGCCCGACGGAAGCTGCTGGGGGAGGAGGCGAGTAGAACTCGCGCGCTGAACTCGCGAGCTGCTCGGAACCCACTCGGTGTCCGAAAAGAAGAAATGGTGGTTTTGGCGTGCAGATTGGTCCATTGCACCATGGGATGGTTCCGAATCGCATGGTTCCGAATCCATTCAGATGATGCATGCGTACTTGCGTACGGTGTGTGCGGAACACGCACCCGTGCATGCGTGTTCTTGTCCCTAAACTAGTTGAATCCCCCGGTGAACAGTGAACATCCAGGAGTCACAAGACGGAGTGCCTATTGGAGGTAGTCGGGGTGCCCTTGTCACATCCACTCACCAGATGGGACCAAACACCACCCCGTCTTGTGACCCCTGGATGTTCTTCTTGTTCCTGTCGGTTCCCAAGTCCTCAGGGACTGGGTCATCTCGGGGTGGACGCGCCAGGTCACCTTGCCAGGCCGGACGTGAGCTCGGGGGGGGCAGGTTGGTTTGAGTTCGGGTTCCCCCGGTTTTGGGGGATTCCTGATGTCATGACGAAGTACCTGGGATCACCTGGTTGAACTCTTGGTCTTTTGATTCAGGAAAAGAGCATATCCCCAGCTAGGAAGTACGTGGATCACCTGCAGGTCACCTGTTTTGGGGGTGTCTCACCCCATGACTACTCGACTATAAGACTACATGGGTTCAGTTCAGTTCACCCAGGTGGTGCGTCGGGAGTTCACCGAGCGAAGTCAGTGGTGCGTCTCACCAACCGCAGAACTGGATGTTTTGACCTCGGGGCACCAGCGAAAAGCATGGGGCAGATGGTCCCCCAGGCCCCCCTGCAGCTTCAGTGATGCTTGATCGGACCCTGGGTCTTACAAAGACTGATGTTCAACCACATGACCCAACATGCAAGACATCAAGAAAAAAAACACATGAGAAGGCCATAGGAGGAAGGTCATAGATGCCCAAAGCAATGTGACTCATAGAACCTCCGGAACCGATGCTGATCCACCTGATCCACCTGATCTCCACCTGTGGCTTGCTCGGGGTGACGTTGGGCGGACCTGAACCGAAGCAATCGTCAGCAGCTCTCAGACCCTGCAACAAAAGCTGCTGGATATGGACCGCACATGGACGACTTGTCGTCAACTTGAAGGTCCGCATCAAAAAAACTCGGCGTTTCGATGACGGGCCTTTCTCTCACACTACGAAGTTCAAGGAAGTCCAATGAACCCAGACACAATCAGCGAAGTCTCATTGCCTGTGTGGGTCGTAACCATCACAACAGAGATTTCAGCGTCGCGCCGGACCTCCCTCTGGTAGGTTGACCATCTATAGGTGTCCATGACGAGACCAGATAGCTACTATAGTAGCGTCCTTGTGCCTTCGTCTTGATGGCCTCCAACCTAATGGCGGCCGTCGATGGCCTCCACCTAGTATAGCTTCTATAGTTAGTAATAGCGTCCTGGTTACTACTGTCCAGGACCCTCCTGTCGGGGTGTCCAATGAACTACCCCACACTACCTACAGGCTTCCAGACAGGGCACCCCTTGGAGGGTCCTGGGTAGTGATTCCCCAGTTCCCATCGCCACCGATGACACCAGGCGTCCGCAGCCCCGAAGGGCGCGCCGCTCGAAGGACGCCGCGGAAATCGTGTGGCGGGGAGACCCAGAGGTTTGGGGAAAGCTATCCCTAAGGATCCAAGTACCTGAGGAGGTACTTGGATCCGGGTATGGCTGTGGTTGAAGCTGTTTGTTTTGGACAACCCCTCCTTCAGATCACTGGTGGAGTTCGTGGGAGTGGATGACATTCGACCCGAAGTGACGGCGTGTCGATTGGGGTCTCTGTTCCAAGCACCCCACGTAGGGTCCAAAGGATCCAAGTACCCTATAAAGGATCCAAGTCCCTATAGCTTGTGGACCACGTAGGTACTGTGTCCAGACAAAGGGTCCTGATTCACGGCTACTCGACGGCCGGAGTGCGGCCGGAGCCTTTGTCAAGACTGCGCTGACTTCCACGGTTGAGTGTATATTGTTTTTTGTATAATTTTGTTTTTGAGGGTTGTCGGTCCATGACCAGTCAGGGTTCCTCCACTACCACGGTTCATATGTGCAAGAGAATCCGCGTTTGCTCGCTCGTTTGGGATGTGATACCCCTTCGCTTCGATTGCCAGGAGTCAGCTCAGAAGAGAGAGTGTTTGAGGGCTTGACTCCTATGCTTTTGATGTTGAGCGCTTCACGCCACTTCTTCCTGAGTCTAAAGAAAAGAAAAGAATCATACCGACCAGTCAGATCAGTCAGAGGTAATTTGACTCAACAGTTGTGTATGGCGAGGTGTTAGTGAAAGCCTACATGGTTCACTCCAAAGACAAACAACATGTGTAACATGAGGAACACATGTGTAACATGTGTTCTTTTTCCCTTCCCACCGGGTCGTACAACATCTATGCGGATCAGCCGCGGTCGAATTGAGACCATTTCGCATGGCGTCTCATGTGGGAGAGCCGATGATCAGAATCATCACCCTCACGGTCAATTATAAGACTTTAAGACATGTACCAGGAGTCACAAGACGGGGTGGTTTTTAGTCCCATCCAGTGAGTGGATGTGACAAGGGCACCCCGACTACCTCCATTAAGCACCCCGTCTTGTGACTGCTGGTAAAGGATTTCTTCACGTTTTTGGAGGGGGGACAATTCGACCAACGTCTCAGCGAAATCAATGACTTGCCGGATTCCATGGGAGGGTTTTCACTTTAGAACCGTTAAGACGAAAACCTTGTCTCACAATGTCTCATAGTGGTGTATAAGGCCGACTTCTCAAACTGCTTTGCTTTCTGAGGGGAGATTCCAATTCGCCAAATTCGCTATACAAATAGAACAAAACCTTTTGCTTCGCATATTTTTCACACAAATTCACCGGAAAAAATGGATCCTCTTCACGTACCAGTCGCCATCCCAAAGCAGTTGCCATCCCATCCACCGGTGGTCCGTGGCCGAGCCGGTGCAGGGCCAACGCCCGAGAAGAAGACGCGGAACGAGGCGGACGGTGCACCCGGGGCTGAAGCGAGCAGTTGGGCTGGGTGCTGCAGTTGGGAGCGATTCAGCGACCTGGTCTCCAACATGAACATGCTCTACCATCCCCTATGGTTTTATGGGTTTGTTGGAAGTGTAGTTGCTAAATGTTGCAAAGGTCAACATTAAAGATGCAGATATTGGTGTTGCTTTCCACATGCATAATGGCAATCATAAGCTTTCTTTGGCCGCAAAGCATGGTTGCAAGACATGGCACGACCTTGCTCCAAACTGAGCAAAGGGTTATCTATACGACGTACAACAGACTCTGGTGGCCCCAAGATGCCAAAACCGCGCATTCCAACACATTTCGTGACTCAAGCCTATAGACATCCCGGCTCACACTCACAGACCATAGAGCAAAAAACAGCAACAATATTTACAAACCCACTAACATGGAAGTGGAGAATGGCCCCTTGGAAGACCATTTTCCACGACAAACAGGTGGTTTTCCACTTCCATGTTAGTTTTCGGGAGTGTAAGCAGGTCACCAAGCGATGGACCGCTTAATTCCCAGTTTGAGTCATCGCCGATCCTCACCGATGACCACGTCGCCGATCCGTACAGATCGCGGTTCGTTCGGCTCAAACCTTTGGGTTCGTAGCTGCTGAGTGAAATCAACCCATCACAATGCCCATGCATCGGCTCATGCTGTGCGAGAGAGAGAGAGAGAGAGAGTGCAAGAGAGCTGCAAACTTGTGGGATGGGGCTGTCCATCATTTGGATCAACAGGGATTATGAAAGAAATCACAAACTGAGCACTAAACACATTGAACAGATGAAGGGAGCGTTTGATTGCTGTAGATCGGGATTATTCCGGAACATTCCGGAACCCACTACTTTCTAGTACAGTTTTGTCATCCTAGAAAGACGACCAGATCTCCAAATGTTGTGTTTGATCCTTTCATCCGAAGCAAGACTTTCAGGACAAAAGGCCTCTGACAGTCGTAGACTTAAGTGATGCGTTTTGCACATGTTTCAGGAAAAACACTGAGGAGCCATGGCCAGGATCACTGGTGCCATATAAGTGATGCGTCTCGCATGTGAAGGAACCAAAGGAGTGCTCCACTGCGACCCATCGTGCTTCGCTCTGAGACCCATGGAGCTCCAAGAGCGAGCGCGTCGGCTGCTGCGAGCGCTGGACGCGACGCTTGGCTCTGCGAAGGGCGTCGATGGTTGCCCTTTAGGAATGGAACAACAGGAAAATGCCCAACAGGGTATGGAAGAGGATTTGCCCTTGTTTGGGGTGTTTTCATGTGTTTGTTTTCTCTTGATTTACATGGTTTGCTAGTATGTTGAGGAGGTTACACAAATCTTGAGTGGCTTTCCAAAGGAACACAACATAGGCTTTTTGCGCTTCTCTACCGGCTTGTCGGTGCATGGGTTCTGCAAGACATTCAACTTGTCGAAGAAGAGGTTTCGCCAGGCGTGTCGAACGGAAGAAGGGACCAAGAAACCTCCGCGCGTCCAACTCGATCGTATGTCTAGGTACCAAATCAAACCAGTCAAGCCCATGTTGAATCATGTTCATCATTTTTCATATAGTATGGCCAGGTCCAGGTGTATTGAAAACACAACTCCAAATCCTCATGAGCTCCATGTAGCCTTGAAACAATAGAACACCGGCCATTAAAATAAACACGTCTTCCCCGCCTGTCCCCACCAAAAAAAGATATCCCGAAACCATCGGGCAAGTGGAATAGTTTGGCACCATGGAAGACCATTTTCCTCTACAAGGAGGTCCTGATCAGCTTCCATGATTGTCGGAAGTGATTGTGTTAAAGAGCACCAAAACAAAGCGAGCACGTGTGTCTTCCTCGCTCCCAAAACCAAAAAAACAATCAAAGAAGTCGTGGACCGTATGTTTCACACCCTGTGAAACAGAGCGTTCTCCTCTCGGCCCAGGAATCACGATGGACGCTTGTCCGTGGAGGAGTGCATCGACTTGAAGGCGTGGGACGTGTGTTGGGGTGGAGTTTCAGGGGTTTTCAGCACTGGTGTTTGGGCTGGTGTTTGTGCTTGTGGAGGAGATAAAAACAGGTCCTTGTTCTTGTGTTCTTTGGGGTCCAGAGAGTGGCGCAGGAGGTCGCGGAAGGGCGGCAGCGTGGAAGGAAACGACCTTCACATGGGTTACCGGAGCTCGGTTGCTTTGTGCAATCGCTGGTGGCCTGCGATCGTGAGTGTGGTCGTTTTTTTGTGATACACTCCGACGAACACATCACATGCAAGTGCAAAATGGTCCCTTGGAAGACTACTTTCCTCTACGAACAGGGGGGGTTCCACTTCCATACTAGTGAGTAGGTGTGTATTGAATTGGATGGACTTGGGAGCCTAGACGGGAGCTCAAAAAGCTGAGGCATGAGATAAGAACATGTTCTTGCCAGATCTTACCAGGAGATCTTGGGACCCAGCATAACCCAGCCATTTCTATTTTATACTGCAACGGGCTAACCCATGACATCTGAATGCCTCTTTTGAGGGCGCCTGCTAAACGACTCGGTTCTCTCAGTGGTTCCAAAACGAGAAGCCGCACAGGATGGTACTTGGCTTTTCCCCGATGAAGAGAGCTTCGAAGAGGTCTTGGACGATACAGATCGCACCTTGGACCGATCGCACCGAGATCTTTCTTCTGAATCCATCACAGCAGAGGTGTTTTTCGCTGCGAAAAACAACATACGAGCGTTGCATGGAAAGTCAGCTCCTTATTTCCTATAGGACATTGAAAAATGAACAAATTTGAAGGACACTTGTGACTCCAACGTTCTGTAACGTTCACCATCAACTTGGAGGAGGCGTTTACCATCGACTGATAAGTAACCATACTTCTCGCTCTCCTTGCTGAGGTAAGTTCGTGGACGCGGACCGCCTTTGGTCGTTGATCTCTGATAGGTTTGTGTGGGAGTTGTGTGGGAGTTGTGTTTGTGTTTGAGGGAACATGGAAGTGAGTTGATGGACACATGATGACACGATATTTCAGGTTGGAGAGGCAGACACTAGTGATGACATGTGATGACATGTGATGACACTATATAGATGACACAGGCTTGTCATGGTGAGGTTGACAGAGTAAACAGTTCCATTAATTAAGTTTCCGCACCTTACGCACTGCACACTTTGCTTGATTTCTGCAGATCTTTTCATCCTGCCTCAGGACCCCCACCAACCTACCTCACCCAACTGGTGAATCTACTGCTGCGGGAGGCTCTCGAATGATGCCTCGGGAGAAGAGTGGCTGCGAAGCCAGTACCGCTTGTTGAGGCCTGGAACTTGGCATGTGAATTCGGGTTCAAGGATCAAAGCGGGCTAAATAGTCAGCTAAATGTTCAGCTGGATGTGCTTCTTTGAGCTGAATAGGACCGAAGCAATGATTGGTGTCTTCCTTCTAGGTGAGAGACATTAACCCTCTGCTTTCACTGCTTTGCAGGACGACAGCATATAAGTATAATTAGCTGAAATTGAGTAAAGACAAGCATTCAGTCATGAAACGAGCCAGAGAGTCGCAAAAGCAGAAGCATGAGCCTTGATTCCTTTTGATGAGAAGTCCAGAACAACAATCGAATTCGGTCGGTTACAGCTTTCTGCTGAACCGTGCAGTGCACTGAGGGCTTTCTGCCATCAAACTTATCAGCCGAAAGTGAAGGGACCTTCCCCCCACCTTCAGAATGTGGATCAACTCTCCAGATCATTCCATATGGTCCATCCTAACATTCGTTAAAAATAAAAAACATCCCCAACAAATTCACCAGGACCATGTCCCACCGCCTCACACGTCCTCGTCCGCTCCGTCACAGCTCACACCGGTCACACCGTCCGTTCGGGTTCGCCCGCACGTGCCGATAAACCGTCCGTCCGTCCGGCCGTCCGCCGCTTCGGCGAACGCACCAGGTCCCGGCGGGGCGAAGCCAATTGGAGTCCCGTGGCTTCAAAGACCTTCACCGTGCGGAACGCCCAGCCGTCAGCGGTTGGCCGAGCCGGTTGGCCGAGCGGTTTCGTGGGTTTTGGCGTGGGGCGGTGAGGAAGTGGGAGTCGGCTCATGTGGGGAGAAAACGGGTGAGAAGACATGTGGATGGCCATTCATCGGAAAATCCGTGATCTCGAAGGTATTGTTGTTTTGGGCTGCCCATGTCAATGGGACATGCTGTTTAATTACTCTGATGTTTTGACTCGAGATTGGACGACACCGTTGAGGCGGAGTCCCCACACATGGGTTTGGGGCTCCGTTTGGTACAGACATGTTTTGGATGAGATGGATGAGTAAAGGCTGCTGGTTGAACTCGTTGCTTTGGATGTGGCTTGCATGAAGACCTCAGAACTTGCGGAATTGCCCTTTCTTCGTCCTGGCATGTCGGTATGATTTCAGAGTAGAGTTGGCACACGACACAGGCGGCACAATTCCTGATAGGTTGATGATTTGGATCCAATATTAACACTCACATCAGTTTAACGAGTGAACTCAAATTGGTCAGGGTGACCCATGTGGTGGCCTTTGCCCCAGTTCACTGGCATCTCCGATGAAAAACCGCATTTATGACCAATCTTTTGAGCACGCAGAGCTTTTAGAAGCCAGAACCGAGGATGGATTTTTGGGGGTGCGAAAAAAATAGAACCAACACTGTCCATTATAGTGCTCCAGGTCACTGTCGGACGTGTTTTGCCATTAACACAGGAGGACGCGGACGGATCTGCGGGTAGGGATCAGAACCTACCCACCCAAAAACATCAAAAAAACATGATAGGTTCACATCCTTGGTCATTGGTCCAGTTTCTTTATTGGCTGTGGAGGAAGCTCCCCAGAGCTGTTGAAAAGCAATAGATCGCAAAAAATGGAGCTCCTGTTTGAAATGCGAAAAATTGACTATCCAACCGATCCAGTCCACCTGGAATGCCCTCCGGATCCCTGCAAAAACCACCGGTTTTGATCCACCGAACCAACCCACCAAACGCGCGCCATCGCCCAGTCGCGCTGGGGGCGCGTCTCGCTTAGTCGCCCTGTCTCTCGCGCTTCAGGGATCGAAGAGCTTGGTTTGGTCCAAGTCCTTGTCCCCGGCGGGCTCCTTGGAGAGCTTCTGGGAGGACTTCTGCGGCGTGACTTGGCCGCGTGGTCTCGGGGCATCTCGGGGTCGACATGTGGAAAACGCGAGATTGGATTTCTGCTTGGGTGGCTTGGTGGGCGTGGTTCGCGTCATGATGTTTTTTTTTTTTTTTTCGTTTGTGTGTGCTTTTTTGTTGATGATTGAGGTACTGATGTCGCCTGGGCCTTGGTTTTTGTTGTCGCTGAGGATCAACGCTGTTTTTTTTTTAAATGGGTGTCTCCACGATTTTAATGCTGGATGCTGGATGCTGTACCTGGCTGTACCTTCCTGACGGAAACTCGGCCCATGACACGCTACCAGGTGGGGATTCATTGCTTTGATGTCCAAACCCCGGACATGCACCAGGGCTTCGGCTTCGGCTGAGCGTTTTTTGTGTCGCTCCTTTGCGGGCTTTGAGGGTTCTCTTCGTGTCCATCTCGTTTGGGTATCTTGGTATAGAACGTGTTTGTCTATGTTTGTCTCAAAGGTTTGTACGTGTGGGAAGGGGTATATCATGGTATGTCAATGATATTCAATGATCATTTCGTCACATCAGCAGATTCTTCCAGAAAGGGTGGTAGACTCCTGAGGCCCTTCAGGTGGAGGACATCACCAGCACCTTTGGCCACTGAGCTTTGAAAGCCACTGGAGCGTTTTTCTGTTCCGAGGTGTCTTATGACTTGCAGATGGTTGTCCAATCTTTGGGATGTTTTTCTTTTCAAGCTTGTGCTTGTCCGTTCTAATTTGAGTCGTCCCTTCAGTTTCATCGGTAGTTTCATCGGTAGTTTCATGGGATTGAACAGATTTCTCGGGAGAAAGTCATGTCTACTTCTTCGGAAAAAAAAGTAACAAACATGCAGAGGGCAGGGCAGAGGGCATACCTGACAGAACAGCCCCTTCCAAGAGATGAACTACGATGAATTGCTGAATCATTTTAGCAAATCCCACAAGTGAACTGCATACAGATGATGTTCCAACTGGTTCTGCACAACAAGGTGCCTTGTCTCGGCGATTGCAGCGCGTCAGCAATGGCTCGAGCCACTTGGACTTCGGCGTTTGAGCGAGGCACCCGACAGCGAAATCCATTGACTGAGTGTGGAACATGTGGGCGTGTCATAGTGTGTCAGGGTAAGAAATCACATGAAATCACTCCAGAGTAGATAGAAGGAATAACCATCTCTAAAAATGAGTTGGACATGGTTTTGTAGTTGGTGGCCACTAAATGTTCTGTGTCGTGTAACACCAAAAGAAAGATATTGAAACATCTATGGTCTATGGGTCCCTACTTGCCAAGTACCGACCAACATCTAATTGACTGAGGATCTCGAATCTTCCACCCAGGACTATGACTAAAGTGGCTAAAGTGAAGGACACAGGCCACATAGGTCGTTGGTTATTTTGAGGTCAAGGGGGTTGTCGGTTCTCGTTTCTGTTCGAGGGTCTCCTTCAGGTCAACATGTAGGATTCTGTAGGCCTAAAAACCAGTTAATGGAGGACTTGCAGGTCAGCTTTTTGGGGGGGCTTGGGGATACTCGGCTAAATAACCAAGTTAACCCCTACATTCCAGGAAAGCGGCTTGGGAATCAATAGGGTCAAGTCTCCAGATCATCCATTGACCATGTGAACACCCGAAGTGGATGAACATGCCTGCAGCCATAGCGGTTCATCCGTGGCATGAGCCTATTAGGCAGTCAATCTGTAACAGTCATGTATAGAGTAGCGGCAGTGGCAGTCTATTTCTTCAGCACCATCAGAGCAAATCGACTTTGGAGAGGTGAGCTGCACATGGACATAGGAGTCCGCACACTCACAAAATCAATACTGACTACTACTCGCAGGACGCATACTCTCCAGACAACAGAATACAACTCCAGGCCCGGTACATTGCAGGAGTTGAAGACACCAGATTCACAGGGTTCTTGTCAGGTCAAAGTTGATTCCTAAGTCGAGAGCACATCGTACGCTGTCGAAGTTATTGACACCGGCACAAGGAGATTGCTTCTCGTTAAAGGTGTTGACATCGCAGGAAAGCATACACGAGCCATGTAACATCATCACCTTTGGGTGGCTCTACACGGTGCATGTATACAAACACCCCCCAAAACCATGCCCCTGTGGCAGTGACGATTCCCCACAAAACCAACCATCCACCGCCCGCGGGCGAGGGCGGGTTCCATGGAACCTCCCGCAGTTTTTTGAAGGACTGTTTCACGCGCACTGCGCCTCATGGGGGCACTCAGAGGTGCTGAGCAAGCAGGAAGCAGCTGACATGTTGAAGCTGGAGGCATGAAGATGAGGATGGTGACATTATGACATTTATGAGCTAAAATCCGTTGATTCAAATCTAGTGATCGTCGAAGGTTTGGAATTGACTTGGCCACCAGAGACCCATTTCTTATTTTGGACGGCGTTTCAGCTGGTGGAGGACACCTGCAAGGTGAGTCAATGGGTGTGCTTGAGCCATCTGGAGCCTGCAAAACCTTTTTGGCGATTCGGGACACCCCACAAAACAAGAACATGAGGAGCGTTCGGCTCACCGGTATTTTCCAGCAGAAACGGCTCGGGAGTTCGAATCACCATGTCCCAAAGAGCTCGGGCTATGCATCCCGAAGACGATGTCCCAGGAGCAGCCAAGTTTGTTGTTTCATCACTCTATGTGTTGCTGTTTCATTTTCCACCTGGAGTCAACAGAGTTACCAGTGATCAAACAATCAGAAGCACATGAAATCATTGACATTTACACATAAATCCAATTCGGTGTGTCGAATGAAGGGACGGAGCACGGCCGGAAGGAACACGGATTCGACTACAAACTGGTGTGACGAAAGCAAGCTACAATAGCATCAATCAGCATTGGAATGTATGTGTCCAAGCCCTCTTTGTTAGTTCAGAGGGGTTGCCCCTTTGGTGCCCAACAGTTGTTTTTCTTCATAGCTTCTTCCATGTTTTCATTTGTGGATAGCAAGATGTCTGATTTGGAGTCCTGCGAGGTTTTCAAAAAAAGACTGTGAAGCATATCATAAATCATAAGTCCCAGTCATTGATCAACAAACACAGTCAGTCGGGGTAGCTAAGTATCCTAATTTGGATCCTGAATATCTCACCTTCGTTCTACCAGGGTCATCCTGTCTGGGTGTTCAATAGACTGCCCTACCCTATTTACAGGTCTCCTACTCCAGGGCACCCGGAATCCACATGCCTAGCACATCCATCGTGCTGCACATCCACCGTGCAGGCGGTGGGCCTCGATGGCGAAGCTCTTCCCTTGGACTTGCTGCCCAACGCCACTGGCCGCGAGGTCTACCGAGCCCTCACCGAGCGGCTGCCGCTCAAGGAGGGCGCACGCGTGTGCGTGCAGATCGGCCGGGAGAAGATCTCCCTGCGAAAGGCCGTGAAGGACCGGAGCCGGGCCGAGGGGGAGGAGACGTGGCCGTCCCACGGGGGTTGTGAAGGGATGACGAGGTCCAAAGAGGGGGTTGTGAAGGTACCGGGGGTCCGTTGAGAATCGGGAAAACGTGTTTCAAGGCTCCAAGGAACCTTGCTGACTTCAACGATCTTCAAAAGGTTGCAGTTCTTCAGCACCAAGTTGTTTTGTTTTTTGGTTAATTGCTATGAGCACAAGGTATTTTTTCCTGTTGTACATCGACGATGGGTGGCCAGCAGTCCCCTGCCACCAGTCTTACTGGTGATTTTGTGATGTCAATCATGGAATTGTCCAGTGCAAAAGACTTAGCAACCTGGCAGGACCAAAAAAACAATGATACACAATACTTGTTAAACAAACTAATACATAATAATAAGAACCAATACTTATCATTGGTTAAAAAAAAACAATGATACATAATGCAACCCGGCAGGACCGAGCATGAGATGTGATTGCACACAGTGCTGTTGCCTTTGTGCAGCATAGAATTTCAATGTTTATTCATCTCAATGTTGATCCGATTCGGACTTTGCAATGCTTCAAATCTGTAAGATAAGCCAACACAATTAATAGCATCCTGCCAAGCCACCAAATAATAATCCACAGAGGCTCTGTTTTATCGGTCGATAGTTATGAAATGTTATGAATCAAAGAGATACACCAAGTAGAATGTTGTTCATGTTTAAAACCAAATACAAACATATCATGTTTTGCAAATGTAGAAGAGTGAACTAGACAATGACAGCTCTACCCCTGAAAGCCACCTCCTACTCCTAGCTTGTTTTGCTTCCCTGAAATTCGACAAGGCTTTTAGCTCAACAATCACTGCCTAGTGTTGCTTTCCTATGCAGAACAAATGGAGAGCATGCTGTTTGCGTCGTCGCTGGCTTGGAGCACTGCAGCACTGAAGCGTCGTGTGCCGCTTCAACATCTCAAAAAGTGTTGGCAGGTGAGCTCTTTTGGCAGGCTTTGCAACACCAAAGGAGTCATTTCCAACGGCTCTCGCCAAGCAGACGGGTACATGGTCTTCGGAATTTGTGGGCAGAAGTGGCGAGTTCATCGCGTGGTCAAAGTGTCTTTCCATGGACTTCCCATGTCGAAAGACACCTGGCAAGTGCATCACTTGGATGGCAACAAATGCAACAACTGCTTGGAGAATCTGGAGTACGTCACGAGCAGTGAAAACATGTGCCACTCATACTCCAACCCTTCACGGCGCAACCATGGGCCTGCACAGTCGAAGCCTGTGCTTTGGCGACCCAAAGGATCCATCAGCTGGACAACAAGCCCTTCTGCCGCAGCTGTAGCTCAGCAGCTACGCATGCACAAAGACACTGTGTCAAGATGTTGCCGTGAGGTGATTGCAGCCAAAGGCTACGAGTTTAAGTACCCCGACTTTTGTCAGCAAACTTTGCCAGGAGAAGAGTGGCGACAATTGGTCGATCCGCTGTCCAGTACGGCAATGCCAGCAAAGATGGTGAGTTCTTTTGGCCGCATAACCTCACGGGGTTTGATAAGCAGAGGGCACCTGACTCAAGAAGGGTACTACAGAACAAGGTTATCCAACAATGCGTCCTCTCAGGTAGTGTTTGTTCATCGCCTGGTAGCTCTTGCTTTTCTCGGACCACCGCCTTCACATGACCAAAGGTTTGTGAACCATAAGGATTTGGACAAAGGGAACAATACTGCAGACAATCTGGAGTGGGTCTCTGCTGTGGAAAACCGAGCTCATTTTCTGGAATCATCCCCAAATGGGCATGGGACCACTGCAAAGCCTGTTTGGAGCCGACTTCATGGGAAGGAGAACCCATGGAGGTGGCATCACTCCATGGCAAGTGCAGCATGTGACCTTGGCCTTTGCAAGAGCAACATATCCAAGTGTGCCCGAGGGCTCCAGCAGCACACTGGTGGGTATGAGTTCCAACTGGCAGATGCACAGGCGATAGTTTCTTCGCTGCCGGGCGAAGAGTGGAGAAATGTCGATGTTCTTTTGCTCCAAAGAGACAGAGAAATTCGTGGGCTTTGTTGATTTGTGCCATGTTTTGGCTTGGAGCCACTGACCAAATCAAAGGTTCCGTTCCAAGGTCTTCCTTCAGCGGAAGGAATTCTGAGCACTGTGTGCTTTGTTTGCGAAAGAAGTAGCCTCAAGTAGATCAGGTTGCAGCAACGAGAAGAACAATTTTGTTCAAGCAACTTCATGGCTTTATATCGCATTTCATGTAGCCTTGGCAGCCGCTCAAGGAAAATTGCTAGTCGAGCTGTGAGTCAAGTCTATTGGTTCCACTATAGGATTGATTAGTAGGCAGTGATCCTCTTCACCAAGATGGGGCAAAGGCTGGCATACATAATGCTTCTTTGCTGCCTGAGGGTTGTTTGCTAATTTCCTACTGCTGCAAATGTTTGTAATGTTTGTTTGAATGAACAGCTTAAAGCCTGGCTTAGTGATTATGCAAGGAATGTTGTTGCTTATGGGAAGAGGTTACAAAAAGATGATCCTTCGCATTACACACATCCGATGATATTTGAACACAGGGACTTCCCTCATCAGATAATTCTTCCTGAGAAGTAAGGTGCATTCCAACCCAAAAGATGACTTTGGCAAATGCTGGATGGCTGAGCGGCTCACCACCCTACACGATTTTAGCTGTCCCAGGCAAGTCTACTTTACTTCTCATCCCCGTTTATCTATGTGTCCGGTCCACATTCCAGTCCCACATGCAAGGATCATGTGGGATCAATTACTGGGATGAACTGCTACAGAAAGCTACAGATTCTACGATCCTACAAGTTAACACTAGTTTTAATCAGTCTCCAGATCCTACAGATGTGTGGAGTTGTTCATCATCCGTGTCCTTCCAAAGCGTGGGCCGTTTCGGGGAACCGTGCCCTTTCGCACCTCCCGACCCGTTCCGACTGCACCGGGAGGACTATGGGTTGGAGTCCGGGAGTTATGTGGGCTACGTCTACGTGCCGGTGAACCTGCACGAGGCCTGGAGATATTTGCAGGGCTGGCCAGTGGATGATGAGGAATTCACGCTGGAACCTCGGAGCGAACACGCGAACCCAGCGCAGTTGGTTTTTCAGTACCTATAAGCCAGAGCCCTATGCCAGGCTTCAGGGTTCTCCACATTTCAGAATCTAGAGCGGGATCCATTGGTGTTCAATCTCTATGAAATTGTTCAGATTGTTCAGTTATGTTCAGCTCAGGATTTTTGCTATTACTATCGTAATTCAATTTCAGATTTGTGAAGCCGTACAATGTATGTTTCCCAATGTTTGTGGTATGGTACCATGCTACAACTGGTCCCATAAGGGTCCCATAAGCGACGGGACGCTGCAACCTGCGAAAGGGAAGGTATTGGAATGTACCGAACACCCACCAAGAAGACCCATGAAATGACCCTTATAGACCTTCAATGAAGCCGAAAAAGAGAGCCTACTAGCGATGGCATCCAACCTAATAGCAATGGCCTCCAATCAAATATCGCTTGCTCAAACTTTGAAGAGAGGTCTCGAGTGTTGCCTTAGCGCCTTAGCGTGTGCCTACTCCCTCCAAGCAACATTTCAGTAACGCAAGACCCAGCAAAGGAAAGAGGATCTTCTCCACATACCCCTTCTTTGGCCTTTGGCTTGCTACAGTACTCAAACTGCAAGAGAGAAACGGTGTTGGTTCGTTCGACCGATCAGATGCCGCTTTGGGGCGTTTTCTTCGGGGTGTTCTTCGGTCTGCTCGTTGGATCGCGGGGGAGACACACTGGACACCTCAGGAGGGCGTCACGCAACTGGGCGGTGTGCCTTCCGTGGAGTCGCTACCCAGCAGCCTGACCGAGCTGATTTTGCATCCAGACTTCAACCAAAGCTTGGAGAAGGTGTTGTGGCCCGGAAGCCTCCAGAGCCACTTGGAGAGAGCAGAGAGGTTGGCTGGACAGCTGGGAAGGTGTGCGCGATGGTGTGCGCTGCTGAGTGCAGAGGAGCACTTTGGAAGTTTCTGTTGTGTTCGGAAGTGATTTTGCAATGGATAGGCAGTGTGGAAAGCATTTTGACGCGTGCGTGTGCTTTTATCGAGCTAGTATAGTAGGGTATTATGTAATAGGATTAGCTGGGATTGGTTACTTGATCCTTTCTTTTTCGCAGTCTTCTCACTCACTGCGCCCTTGTGTGCATTCCGCTTGATTATAGAACTGCCACCCGTGTCATTTATTTACCGTTAGTTATGTTTAAAATTCAAAAGGTTGTGTCAGCCTGATACCCAGTTCATCTCACCTCATGCGTAGCCAACCCCTTGGAATAGCTCTTTGTGGTTCTTTGATTGTTACCTCTTCAGCTGTCCCAATGGCCATTGGTCACCCTGCAAAAGTCTTGTCCGATCGTGCAGTTTTCCCAACCGTCTTCAGTCAGGAAAACCAGTCGTGTGCATGTGTCAATCCATTTTTCGGAGTTGCTATGGAGTTCTTTGATGAACCGAGTCCCTGAGGTCTAAGCTTCGGCTTTTCCTTCAATCAGACTTTGGAGGGGACCATTTGGCCCAACCAGCTGCGAAGCCTGACGTTCGGCGCGGAATTCAACCAGCACTTGGACGCTTGCTTCTTAAGATTCTTAAGCGAAGGCGAACATAGGAAAGTTGTTTCACCCAGAAATGTCCTATACGGCCCACTGATGCATGTATGGAATGGGGAATACTACGTGGCAAAATGAAATTCATTCATAAATAAATGGGATTCAGATATCCAGGCCTTAATTTTGGCCTGGGAATGGTTTAAGGGTGTTTAAGGACATAATTAGCCACCATGTGAAGCACAAAGACACCCAGCCCCTCACAACTGCAGGACGAATGGGCACTACCTAGCAGCCTGGAGAGCTTGACCTTTGGCATTGGTTTCAACCGGAGTTTGGACCATGTGAGTCTTCCAGATGGACTGAAACACTTGACCTTTGGCACATTCTTCAACAAGAGCTTGGAGCAAGTTCATTTGCCAGAACTTGAGAGCCTGGTCTTTGGCATGAAATTCGACCAGAGCTTGGAGGAAGTGGTTTTGCCTGGCACTCTTCAGCATTTGGCCTTTGGTGATGGTTTTAATCAGCCTTTGGATCACGTGATCTTGCCAGAAGGACTCCTCAGTCTCACCTTTGGTAACCATTTCAATCAGAGTTTGGAAGCAGTTCTCTTGCCCAGCAGCCTGAAGAGCTTGACCTTTGGAAATCATTTCAATCAGAGTCTGGAAAGTCTTCCGTTTCCATCCCTCGAGAACTTGACCTTTGGCGCTGGCTTCGTGGAGAGTTTGGATCGAATCCACTTACCCAGTCGCGAGGCCCAACGTTTAAGCTGGGCGATGGGATGGCCAGAAGAAAACTTTCCCAGGGGAAGGAAAGACATACAGTATAGATCCCAAGACAACCAGTGGAAGTGATTAGTCTCCCTAGATCTAACATGGAAGTGAAAAATGACCTGGTTGTAGTGGATTTCATGGTCTTCCAAGGGTCATTGGTCCACTTCCATGGTGTTTTTCCAGGGAGAGCTCAGTAGGTCGCAGCTGGACCGAGTGACGCTTCATCATTCACCCACCCCCGGCATGGTCGTCCGTCCAATGCGTGGCCGAAGAGCAGCAGGGCATGGAGAGCAGCAGATCATATTTCTACACCCCGTAGGTAGGGTGTCACATGGTTTTACAATCCATGTCTGTGGTGTCACATGGATCAAGAGGGTTTTTGGATTCGAGGGTCGTTTGACACGAAACCTGTGAGCCGATGAGCAGTCTACGGAGCCCATGAGCAAGACACATTCATACCAGGGCCCCCTAGGGGGCATCCCTTAACCTCTAAGGAGCTATAATTGGACACCCCTTAGGGGGCCCTGGTAGTGAGCAAGCCTGTCAGCATGTCATAACTCTGCCCAGACTCAGGTAGCTTACAGAGTTTGACCTTGGGTCTTCTACAGGAAGTGGACGGAGTCACGTTACCCGATCGCTTGAAGAGTTTGACCTTCGGAGACTACTTCGATCAGACCTTGGAAAGTGTCTCTTGGCGTGGGTGTGGTCGGAAGGCGCCCGGGGGGCCCTCACGGACCCCAACACGGTCCATCGCGCCCAGGGGGGGTTCACATACGGCCAGACAACCGGGCCGGAACAAGGACCCCAAAAGGAACAGCTTCTTTTCATTGGAGGAAGGTTAAGCTTTCATTCCTCTTAGGCCGCCTGAGGCCACGTAGATGTCAATCCTTGGGTAGAAATTGCCACCTGTGGGTTTTTCCCTGCGGTGGGGAGCCTGTGTTCTGCAAAGAGGGTGGTGAGGTGAACATGGTGAACCTTTCGTGGTGGACCGGGGATTTCCGAGAAAGAATGCTTTCGACTGTTGCTGTTTTACAGGTTCTCCCTGGTTCTCCCCATTCTGGTGCTTAGCCCCAAAAAGATAACCAGGAGACAAGCTCACAAGCTCATATGGATGGTGTGAGTGTGTGCACTGACATGAAGCTGAACAGGGGAGACCTGGAAGAATTGGTCTACACCGTAATTAGATATCCAAGACTGTTGAAGGAGTGGTTGACCTGGTTTTGTATCCTAGATTCCTGTTTCTTTAAAACATGGTTGTTTAGTAAAGACCATTCAGACCATTCAGGTAATGGTTGTTGGCAATCCCAAGGTACAGAAAACTAAGGTCTCATTGCCTGAGAGCTTACAGGAGCTCTCCTTCGGATATGACTTCAATCGCTCCTTACGTGGAGTGACCTTGCCGAGTGGTTTAAGACGCCTGGAGTAACGCATAACGGCAGATTTGAAGAGAAGTCATACTGTAAGTGCATCCAGTTTTCTATCTAGTCTGGGATCAATCATGTATGATATCGATTAAAACTTTTTTGAGTCTGCACGCACATTCTGGGACATTTCTTCAGCATGTCACAGCCTGGGGGTGTCCCCCAATTCATGGACGTAAAACGTCAGTCTTTTGGTCCATCCGAGGAAGTCTCACCTTCGGAACGGAGTTCAACCAGGGCTTGGATGGTGTCACCTTGCCCAAGAGCCTGCAGAGTCTGACCTTTGGCGCCGAATTCAATCGAGGACTGGATGCTCGGTGGCACCGCGCTCCGGCCAGCTCGGGCCAGGTCGGTCCAGCTGGGTTTCTGTTGGTTTAGCCGTGCTTCAAAGACTCACAGACTCACTGACCTAGATGAAATATAGATGTGTTTGATTCGTTGAGAGTGCCGAGCAGCATAACATGTTGCTTCATTTTGGGGAGAGTGCATGCACGTTGTTGATGTCTTTTTGGGGCAGTGCAAGGATCCTCCACTGGTGACGCAGCCAAGGAAGGAGCGACCTTGCCAGAAAGCCTGCAGCGTTTGACCTTCAGCGATGATTTCAACCAGAGCTTGGACCGCGTGGTTTGGCCAAGCTCCTTGCATCATTTGACCTTCGGCAAGGAATTCAACCAGGCCCTAGCACCTCGACTGCAGTTCATCAAGATGTTCGTTTTGTGTGTTTTGCAAGGAAGGAAATTCACAAGGTAGTATTTGGTACCCTGTTGTGCACTACATACTGGGCATCCATGCTCTACTGACTAATGACTAGCAACATTTTTTCCTAGGGGGGCCTGCCCTGGCTTGCACGCCATTCAAGACAAACAGAACTAAGGTATCAATGGAAGCAGGATTCATAGTCAGTCCATGTCACTGAGTTTGTTGACCCAAGGGGAAAAAAGAAAAATCCATGAGCTTTCAGCTTAATTGCATAACTTGCGGAAAGACAACGTGGCTACAGCTCTGCAGGGAGCCCACAAAACAGCTCCGACATGATCAAGTTTGCCCTTTGGAATCCTTTTGAGATTTAGGTTGGAGGCCACCGCTCTTAGAAGGTTCAAATTTGTACAACCTTAGCCGGGAGTGTTTCACCCCATCATGACCCTTATGGTTGAAAGGCTGAGGGTGACTTTCGGGTGACCCTTTAAGTCCCTCTGAGTCGGCAGCAAGGAAGGGACAACTCTGCCAAGCGCACTGGAGAGCCTCACCTTTGGTGCTAGCTTCAACCAGAATTTGGACGCAGTGCGACTACCTGCAGGCCCACCGCCGTTGTCTTTTTTTTCTGACAAACAATGTACTGTGGAAATGTGTGGAACCCATAAGGGCAGAACTCCACAATGGCAGAACTGAAGACATGGACAACATGAGCACCGTTTTTGAAGAGACTTTTCTTGTGGTCTTCGATCTGTGAGCAGAATTCACACAACTTTGAGGCTGGCTATTCAACTTGATCAAGTCAAGTTTGGAGAGTTTGGCCTGCAACCCCCCTTTTGGCATGAAGTTTGTCCAACTGTCACCAGCAAAAAACAGTACCTTCGCCCAGTGGAGTTCCCCCCGACCACCACCACGCGAGTACGTAGCTTCTTGTGACGTTCGTAGCGATGGCCTCCAACCTACTTGCGATGGCCTCCACCTCATGGCGTCCTTGCTGTTGGTAGTAATAATGCCAGGAGCTACTAATGGCGTCCTTGCTACTAGTGGCTTTCGGAAAAAGATCTTTCCAAGTGGCAGTTCTCTTCCACTTTCATCATTCTTTCTTGGACTAAACCTCGAGCCTGGCAGGTCTGAGGAGTCTCAACTTCGGCGATGGATTCAACCAGAGCTTAGACCTGGTGAGCCTTCCAAGTGGCTTGCAGAATCTCGGAGTGCACACGGAAGTGCAGAGTTCTACGGCTAAGCGGCTTGTTCTTCCGCAAAATTACACCAGTCGAACAGCACATGATTCACAGGAAGAGTACTTGAGCCATGGTCTTGCCCAACCGGTCGCTGTGTCCATGGCTGTCCGGTGGTTTTTCGGTGTGTCCTTGGGTCTTTTGAGGTAGCACCATTCGAGGCTTCTTCGGAGAATCAACCTCCAAAGGCTCAGCGATCCATACAGCTTGCACCGCTTTTCTATCCCAGGTAGCGTCCGATCGCTGAGTTCGAGTCGCGATGCCCTTGCTCCGTTCGTAGCTTGCGTGTTTAATTGTTTGCCTTTTGGTCCACACCGCTTTTCCATCCTCAGGAGTTTATCCTTCGGCCAGAGCTTCAAGCAACGCTTGGACCGAGTGATCTTTCCTCCAGCTCTGCGAAGCCTCACATGCCGGGACCATGTGGAGGAGATTCTGGAAGGAATCCTGGAGAAAGGATGAAGCAAGGTGTATTGGACCATGTGAATGGGACCATGTGTGGAGAGTGGATGGGACCATGTGGATCCACTGCCAATCTTTCAGGTGTGAACCAGCTGTATTTTCGGTATGTGAACTGGGGTGGCTTTGCGTTGTGAGGCCGCACCTCTTGGATGCGCAGGGTGAACTGGGATGGTCAACAGACTACCTGAGGAGAGTCTGTGACGGGGAAACCGAGATGTTGACCCGGGTGCCTGGGAGACATTGGGAAACCCATAAACATCATGATAACCAGGACCTTCAAAGTGACCAAGTTGCGATCCCAGGATGAGGTCACTTAGGCCTGTTAAAGGCCACTTAGAGACTCCAAAGAGGTCACTTTGAGGGTCCTGGAATGTGTTACTAGTCTATCTATAGACATCTAGAACTTCCCTTGAACCCCCTGAACGTCTAGAAACATGTCTTGCATTGTAGAGCCCCTGACAGATCTTCAGTGAGCCAACTGAATTTCCGCTGTGTTTCCACGGGTGGAATCCCTAAAAGCTCCAAAAGCGTGGTCAGGCCAGGGGGTGGGAAGCTATGCAGGCCAGGGTGGACGTCCGCAAACATCTTAGACGGAGACACAGGTACCCACAGGAACCTCCGAGGTGAGACGCGTGTCGAATTTGTGTGTTCTTGGTGTTTGTTTGTTGAGCGTCTATGGACGCACTGGAATGGTATCAGGCACGAACAGGAGCAAAGTATGACTTCTGTACCCCACATCCAGGGAGGGGCCGAGGGATTTCCTGAACTTCCTGGGTGTTTGAAGGTTTCTATTTTGAGAGGTTGGAGCATTTGCAGACAAGAGCACCATGTTATGGGTCTGGGCATGTTGAGCTCTGGAGTGATGTACTTATGTCTAGAGTCTAGATGGTTTGATTCTCGACCGGTCAGCAACCCAAACTCGTTTGGATTTGACCAGGCACTTCCAAAGGGCCAATGCACAAGCCTACACCACCTATAGGTTTTGATGTGACATCCAGTGGAAGTGCCACTTCCTCGAAGCTGTTCTCGCTGAGGAATGACCCTACCCAGCAGCCTTCGCATTTTGACTCTGGGATGGGAGTTCCTTGCCAATCGGAGATTGCGTGTGTCATGTTCTTCTGGTGGGTTCAAGACTCCAGCGCATGCATGAGGTTAACACCATGGAGTTGGAAGCATGGAGTTGGACATCTGTTGCGGCACCTGGTCAGATCGCGGTATTTCTGTTTGTTGCAAATCGACAGGTCTTAGTAGCGGGTATTTGTGTTTTGGGGCCGGATTTCCATACCACTGCCTGGGCCTATAGATCTGGCGGCCGATGCCAGAACATACCGAGGAACGTTGGTTCTACAGTACCTCAAGACTACGAGAACAAAACACTCAGTTGCCAGGATGGGTCCAGGATGCATGAAGTGCCACCTTCGGGCCATGTAGTGCCAAGTTGGTGAGGAATTCCCCGATGCACTCCAAACACGCATGGACGTGGACGACTGGACCGTGCCTGGACTTCCAAACCTTTCCTGTAATTATACAACTTTATAAAGCAATTGATTAACATATTGATTCATGAGTACCTATTAGGTACAACTTAGTTCACTGAAGCTCTAAAAAAGCTCCATCGTTTCAAACCAGCTTTCGTTGCCTCGGCGCTTCAACGCGTCACCTCGACGCCGAGGTTAAGCCTTAGCTCCGAGGGACCGACAAAAGGAGCTTCGCTGCGAAGGCTTCGGAGTTGGGTTCGGCTCAGACCTGGCCAAGTAAGTGGAGTCATACAGATGGAGTCATGAGGTCATGGGTCAGATGGGCAATGACAGATACGTCTTGGATTTTGGGCTTCGGCTTGGTACACCAATCCAAACGTCCAAAAAGACCTCGGTGACCTGAAATGGGTGCGATGGACGGTGAGCGAGACTGGTGCGACCTTCTCAAGCTATGCAATCAGCTCAATGGTGAGACTGGTGCAAGAGGCCTTGAATTCTGCGTGGAATTGAATGTGTGCGGCGTTTGCAGCATGTCATAAACCCAGGGGGTAATGTCATGTCTTCTTCCCAGCATGTCAGTAAGTCTGTGGATAACTCTTCAGTTTGCCGGACCATGATCTGATGTTGAGAGGCTTTGCTTGGGGGCCCGGCATGACTCGTCAGCAACAAGCTCCAAGGTGACTGCTTTGAGCACTATCGCAACTTGATCAGCAGGCCATGGCCTGAACGGACGCCGTAGACGCGTGTGGAGCGACTGGGACGTGTCACTCGAGGTGTCTCGAGCCATGGACAAACCGGGGGGTCAGGAGCACTCGAGCTGAATGTGGTCTTTTGGCGATGTTGGGTTGTGACATGTGACGCTTCGCAAGCTGCGAGCTGGATGAGCTGGGGGAGCAGTGAGCCAAAGTGAGCCATCAACACAATGAGGCCACTCAAGGAATCATGCACGTGAGCAGTTCATGCAGGATCTAGGAAGCTATAGAAGTGGCACTGGGCACCAACTACTGGGACTGGATACCAACATGTTAAACCTCACCCAGCGGGTTTGCAAGATGGGTGCAACAGTGTAACATCTTTGAGGGAGCATCGTGTTTCAATAGTCTGGAGTCTGCTTCGATACTGTTTCTCCCAAAGCAGAGAACCTTTGGCCCAGACCCACGGCTGCCTGAGAACACCACGGGCTCATAGGTCCTCATAGGTCCTCGTCTCTCCCACCTTTGCAAGAAAAGAAGCCGCGCAGCTTGCATCTCCGTTTGGTCTTTTTTCAGAAGTTACGACGTCTTAAGACCCTCAAGAAAGGCCTTTTCGGCCGGTCGAAACACCGGCCAGTCGACGGCACCAGGCTTCCAGTCTCCATTCCACGGATACAGAAGCAGTTGGAGACAGGCGGTCGGCAGATCCCGTGGAACGTGTGCCGCGTCGCGGCGGCCAGCGGGCAGCAACGTGTTGGGAGAAGAATTCACCTACGGGACCCTATTGCAGCTGCCGAGGTCTGAATGGGGGGGCGTCTCCTTTTGGGAGAATCTCATTGCTTTATATCATGTCATAACAGTAGATTGGGAACCCCAAACGGAATTTGAGAACCATGCAATCAACCATCTCACCAACAAATACCAAGCGTCTCTAACTACATAATGGAAGATTCTGGACCCTCATGTCATACATTGCCATACTCCATTGTAGAATCCATGTGACTTCTTTTTGCACAACCGACCTGCCCAACCGACTTTCGACCGACCTGGACCGACCTGGACCAGCCGCTGGAGGCGATCGGCCGCTGGAGGGCAAGAAGCTCGCTGTGGTGGGCGCTGGACCCATAGGTGCGCCCGACGCAGCGAAGTGAACGAGGTCGATTCCCACTCCGGGTGTGTGCACACTGGGTGTGTAGAAGGGAGATCTCCGCCACTGGGTCTGGTTCGGAAAATAGACCGCCACCTGTTGGTGGACGGGCTTCCTATACACACCCGGCTGTGGGCACCAAGATCCCAACCGGGAACGAAGCCGGCAAATGGTGGAGTAGGGCTCCAGGGTTGGACCCATCCCCAGAGGGAACATGGCAGAGTAAAGCGATTAGTTCGGGTGGTTGTGCTCAGGGTTCCCTGCAACGGCACACATCCATGTCCGTGTTGGTGTGTGGTCTTCAAAAGAAGGACCCCTTCATAGGAAACGACACAAATTGACTTATAGGTGGTCTGGTGGTCCAAAATAGAGGTCACAAACCAGGTTTATAGGTATACCAGCACCCTCAAAGGGGTCACCAATGGACGCCCCTACACTACTAAGGGACCTCCATTGGACACCCCTTGATTGTCCAGGTATATATATATATATATGCAGGACGCACGGCGGACACACCCTTTTCCACTGAACTAAGGGGGAGGCTTGTGCCATAGGTACCAATCGGAGAGTACTAGGGACACACAATCTATACAACTTGCATGCCCGTGTCAGTTCCACTCTAAGGAACTGAGTGTGAGTTGAGAGACAGGAGTTGAGCGATTTTTGCTCGTACTTCACTTCCCATCAATCAAACACATCTTTTCCTTGCTGTTGGCGTTTGCGTCCAGAAAACATGAGCTCATCATGAACAATCTTCCATCGTTGACCTAACTGGACAAATCGGCACATTTGTATATCCTCACCTCGCTTAGTGATGCTGTTGGCGAGCATGGCCTGTGAGTTAACCCACCTAACTCTCAAACCAGTCTCCTGTTGGGATTCCTTCAGAGTGATCAGTTCCAAGTCGATGCGTTTTTGAGCTCCCTTGGGAGTGATATATGGTTTGTCAACACGATCAAACACATTGCGGCTATCCGTAATCAGGGTTCCACACGTGCGAGACACATGTTCATAAATATTATGGCTGTCCGAATCATACCCCATGATTTCCGACCATTGATACCGAACCAAGAACAAAGTGTCTTCGGCGTCGATCGCGGCTCGCGCTTCAGCTGACCCTGGAGATCGACACACACGTTCGATCTTGCCGCTCTGCCAGAAGATAGGCGACACTCGATCGACCTCTCCTAACCCCAACTTTTTCCCCGACATCCCAATGAAAATTCCCTTCGTGCTACTACCATCATGTTTGTTTTGAGAACTCGCATCAACCCAACAATAGAACTGAGGTTCTTCTTGGGGCTCAAATGGGAATATGTGCATGGGATCTTTCGCTGCCAACCGCATCTTGCACAAAAGACCATTGACATCAAGGAGCGTCTGTACAGTGCTGGTGTTCACCTCGGACAAAAACAGACTTGTGTATGCGACAAATCTGTATCCAACTTGGTTGGCATGCCAGCTCAGTGCTCCAAGCAGACCTCGTAATTCGGTCTTCTCTTCAGGAGTTGTCTCCTCTTTAATTTGTTTCTTCCTTTCTCGGGCGATTCGAATTTCTTGAACATCGCCCAAGTACTTGGTTTGTTCTAGAGAAAATCCACCGGATGGTGTGCTTTGCACATGAACTCCACACTGGACAAAATCATTGCATTCCCACTCCTGCCACTTAAATTTTTGTTGTATGGCTTCCTGGAGTGCTGTCCATTCAGGAGATTCAATTCCGGTGAAGAGGAAGTCGTCAACATGTCCTGAAATGAGAGCTAGTGTTTCACCTGCCCTCTTGTATCGCCACATACAAGGGTCGCTTTTGAGCTGCGAAAAACCTAGGCTCTTGAGAAACTGGTTCATGGTTTCAAACCACTCTATGGGGGCCTCAACTAAACCATAGCAAGCCTTGCGCATTTTCACCACACTTTGTGGTGCTAGGTTCATGGCTTCGCAGATCTCGACCGTCGGAATGAGGTACAAGTCCCGGCTGAACTCTCGGCCCTGTAGGAACGCTGCAGCGACATCTCCCTTCTTGACTTGACAGCCATGGTTTGATGCCCATTGGATAAGCATCTGTCTGCTATGTCGGGTCATAGTCGGTGCAAAGGTCGGTCTGTGCTGGTATTCAGGGTCCATGTAACCCAGGACAACTGCTCTCGCCTTCGGCTTGGAACTACCATCTTCGGAATGCTTCCAGGTAAGTACCCATCGCATTCTCAATGCTTGGTGCCTTGCCGGTTGTAGATGTTCCGGCAAAGCCTGAAGTGCTTCTGCCGCTATGAACTTGTCCACCTCCACCTTTTTGGCACCAGCGAATTGCTCGTGTTCCAGGGCTGACAAATGACGTTCCGACACTTCCACTGAACGTCGCTTCAAAGCACTCACGAAGTATGCCACTGGATTGTTCATGAAGCGCCTCAACTTCCGTTGGTCTGTGGGCAGTTCAAGAGTCAGTTCCACCGCAGCATGTGGGTTGTCCCAAGTGGTCCGCGTGTCCGTGGTTAGCCACGCTGACTCGGGCACCAATTCTTGCCACGAGGGTCCTGTGAATAGAGCTGCATCCTCACTGCGACTTGGCTTTGGACTTCTGCTCCGGTCTTGTTGACGTGACTGTTGTTGCTTGCCCGTGACTCGTCTTCGGTTTGTAGGGTGTTCTGTGTCATCCAACTCCTCCGGCTCCACCAGAGATCGTTTGTTCTCTGAGGGTCCAGGACCAGTATGGTCTTGAAAGGAGGCTTTGTGAAGATCTCCGGCTAGGCTGTTGAAGGTCCACGGTAGTTGTGGTGGTCTGGTGAGTTCGTGTAAGCATGTCTCCCGCATGGAAGCGGGCCTCAGTTGTTCTTGAGCTACTTTCACGAGTCGATTGCCCCGTACCAGCCATACCACACTGCTTGCACGCAGTTGACCGTGTTCTTGTCGTGTCTCAACTGCCAGGACTCTCGCTGGACCCACATAGTTGGCTCGATTCCAGGAGTTTTGCCTTTCGGCGTTCCCCAGCTGTGTTCGCCAGTAGAATACCAAATCTCCTGGAAAGAAGTCTTTGTGAGGATGATGTTTCGAGTTGCGGGCTCTGGTGAGCTTCTCCTGCACTTGCCAATCAATGAATGCTTTAGATGCCTGTTGTCGCAACTGGGAGGCAACTTCCATCTCACCATCTGGAGACTGCATCATCTCCATTGGCAGGTCAGTAGTTCGTCGATCAAATACTCGACCTTCGATGTCTGGCTGCCTACCAATGGCATGTTGAAAGGGACTATACCCTCGCACGGTTTCTCGATGGTTCCAGGTGTAGATGGCGTGTTGGATCAGCTGTGTGACGTCTTGTTCCGCATCTCCGGCTGTCTTGGTGAGGAATTCCTTCACCCACTCAATACAGCGCTCCACATGAGAAAGGTTCCAGTGTGCTTCGGCTGGGATATGGTCCAGGTGGATGCCTCGTTCACTGAAGAAGTTCAGCATCTCCTCCGATCGGAAAGCTCCCTCTGGATCAGATCTTACCACATCCGGCATGCCAAAATATGGAAACCAGTGGTTTGCAAAGAGTTCAGCGTATTCGGAGGCTTTGACTCCTTTGCCTCCGTCCATCCGCATGACTTTGCCAACCAGGAAGCGACTTGCCTCATCCATGACCAAGCTGAATGAGACTTGCTTCTTGGAGATTGGATGCTTCCAGTATGCAGTGTCGATCTGCACACTGCGCCAGCGGTCAGTGTGAACTTCCAGATTGGCCTGACGTCGAGGATCAGGCCTCTTTCTTTCGTCACACGCGCTGCACCTAAAGGACTTGGCTATGGCAAGCACATGGGGACTAACTTGTCTCCTTTGAAGGGTTTTGAGCAAAAGTTCATAACTGCCGTGCCCAGTGGCACTATGTATTTTGAACAACTGCTTCAAAATGCGATCACGTTCCTCTTGGGACACTTGCTGTTCGAGAGGGGGTGCATCGTCCCCCGCAAAAACAAATTCACTCCATTCCTGCATGCAGACATGACATGTCAGTTCTTTCGTGATTTTGTGAACACGTTTACACCAACACCCTTGCTGTCGTTTAGGAATGTGTGTTTCCGTTTCGCATTCGCTCGCTCGCAAGACATGAACATCCGAATCGAGAACCGACATATGGTACACCACCCGTCGAACGAACTCCGGAGTGTAAAAAGCGGTCATACGAGTGGCCTGTCCCTCACACAAAGCATGCGTTTTGTTCAAACAAGCACAAGTGTTATGCAAACGTTCCGAGAGACGACGGTCGGTGCACTCCACTCGCCATTCCTTTCCCAAGGGAACTCCAGTTTTGGGGTCTTTCAAACCGACCTGGCAACCCGAAATGATGGCAGTAGAGGTGTTGCAGTGGTTTCTCCAGTCGTCTAACAAATCCCATTTCCAAGCCCTACATCGTCGACTCCACTCCCAACACACGACCGACCCAGCCGCATGCGCCCAGTGTGCCACCACGAGTGCTCCCACATGTTGTTTTCGGGCATCCATTTGTTTTTGTTTCAGGGCCTCTTGCTGTTCAGGAGTCCTTTGGTTACAATTTTGAATGGGGGAAAAGGCGCCGCACTCGGTCGCAATCCACAAAAACCTAGGCTTCCTCTCACGGATGATCTTAATGGCCTGTTTCACCCCCTCGCCTGTGCGAAGATCGTACCCGTTCCAAACAGAGCAACGCTCGGCAGTGAATCCCTTTTTCAAAGCTTCAGAGGTCAGGAGTGAGTCTGGTGAACATGCGAGTTCCATCAGAAACAGCCTTGAGGCGTCGCTTACGGACGCCCAGGCCTCTGAGAGGACCAACTCGCTCGCCTGTTCAAGGGACCTAAGCTTTTGCGGCGACAAGTGTTTCCACTCGTCATGGTGGCCTAGCCATCCATCTTCACGAAGCTCCCGTCGGATGCCACCGATGTTCCAGCTCGGGGAGGCGGCGTCTTGTGGCGCTTCTTGCCCTTGAGCTCGTCGAGCTCCTCTTGCGTGGCTTTCATGGTTTCCATCATGTCCTTCACTTGTTCGGTCATCGCCGATGCACTTGTCTTGGCATCCACATTCTTGCTCGATGACCCCGCAGCAATGGCCACTGTTGGTCGACTGTTGGTAAGGGCTGGATGATAGCCGGCCCCCTGGTTCTTCATTGGTGCCTGAGACTTCTCGAGAGGATTGTGTTCCATCCTCTCGGCCCAACTGGCGAGTTGTCGAAGCCGCCAATCCGCCGTGTCCGAGTTGCCCACCTCGGCCTGAGCCCAGCTGAGGTACCCCGGATCGTGTTGAGCCACTTCCATGAAGCTCATGCCCTTGTACTTTCCAAAGTCGATCAGTGTCTCGTTGTTGCCGCTGTGGATCAACCATGACTTGAGCATCAAGCGCAGCTCCCCCACCGTGGCCTTGGCCGGATGTTCGATCTGGCGGGCCTGGCACATTGAGCGTAGCTCGCCCAGTTTTGCATTGTTGATCTCCTTGACAAGGTTGTTGGGAGCCCCCTTGGGCTTGATGATTCCCTGAGCTTCGCGAGACTCGCGAACCAGCATCCGGCATTCCGGGAGTGTGAACTCCGTCCATGCAATGCGCTTCTGACCATTGGCCTCGAGTTCCTGGATGCATTCCGTCTTGCTCAGCAAGTAATGTGTCTTCATGGACTTGTCCGGCCACATGGTCACCTGAGCCGCGGTTGCTTCCTGAGTGGTTGCCATGAGGACAAGCGTCAACGACAACGGGAGTGTGGTCACCGGTTTGGACACGTGAATCAGATGGCTGCGGGGACGTGTGGACATGCGATCTTTCATCCTGGCATTCGACGACCGAGCCTAGCCTCACCTCATGCTCATGAGTTTCACCAGTATCACCAACCTGTTTGGTTTCTTGGTTCACAGAAGTGGTTTCGGGCAAAATCAGCGTTCCTGTCTCTTTATCCTCACACTCAGACCCAGGGTGATCTGAGCTGAGTCTGCACCCCTATTCGGGGCTTCCTACGAGCTGGCGAAGACTCATCACACGATTGGCGAGAGCCATGCCACTTTCCAAAAAGTCCTGTGTCAATGGGATCAGTTGATGTCCCGTGGTAGAACGCTTGAGCTTCACTAAGGTGCGGTCGCTGACCGCCGTGAACACCGCCTCATCGGTGCGAAAATCAATGATGGCGCCCAACCTGCGTAGTGTCGCAACTGACACGAGGATCGGAGCACTTCCCTGATCCAGGGCGTGCACCTTTAAAGACATTTGTTGGGCTTCCGTGGGAACATGTACATAACATGTTGAAACACATTGACTACGCTCACTGTTGCCGAAACCAAACGTAGGTCGTTCTGACATGTCCACTCGCAGGACCCCTGGCAGGTTGAGGCGCCGGGCTTTATCCTGCAGCTGTTCGATGGCGTTCACGGAAGCCATCGTCTTTGTGGCGCCACCATCAAGGACACCATACCCTTCTCGCAAGACTTGATCACCCGGAATCAGGTCGGGTGAAGCTTCCTCCAGGTTGGTCCAGCAAAATGCTTCCGGTTTCACGCAGGCACTGTCAGGGAGGACCCCGTACACATACTCGGAGTGTTCAACGGCCTCATAGTTCTTGCCGTCCTCATTCTTCCTGGGGCAATGAGAGGTATCATGATCTTTTCCACAGCGAGCACACGGTCCTCCGGTTCTGGTTGAGCTCGTGGTGTTGTTTGGCCGTCGGTCCCCCATGCCTCCTTTGCCCTTCCCCTTGGAGTAGCCCTTGCCACGATCTGCGGATGGCGCATAGAAGCGACGTCCCATCCGCACCTCATGCTGCTTGGCCCGAGCTTCGCGAAGGGTCACCCTCGCTTGCTGTAGTTGAGCCCAGGCCTCATGTTCTTCATGTTTAGCCTGTTGGTACAGGGCTAAAGCATCCTCGGGGAGGTCCTCGTAGAAGCTGGTGTCTTCTTCCCATGGCTCCGTCTCATCTTCTTCATTTTCATAGAGAGCCTGTTTGGCTTCTCCATCTCGCTTCTTGATTGTCTCATCAGTGAAGTGGCTCCGAAGGGCGACTTCAACGTTGGCGAGAGAGAAATTGTTCTTGACCTCGCTCTGAATCAGACTGCGCTCCATGCCGTCCAGGTTGGCCTTTTCCAGGAGAAGCCAACCCTTGATGACGTCCGGCAGGATCTCGACGAAATCTTCCTCATCATCTTCATCTTCTTCGGCGATGCTTGTATTGGACTGGAGGTTCCAGTTCCATGTGGTCTCCCACGTCGACCACCACCAAGCATCATCCCAGGTCCATTCGGTCTCGTCCTGGGCTTCCTCACCATAGTCCTCAGTGGGCGTCGCCTCGGTGTCACCCTCGGTGGCAAGGTCCGATGAGCCCCCCCCTGTGGATGGCCTTGCCGTAGACACCGACTGTCTTCGTCCTGAGTGCCAGGCCTGGCTGGTCATGTCAGGAAGTGACTTTTGTTCTCGCATCACGCGAGTCAGGGCTTTGCAGGTCCGTGCGTACTCTTCCCGGTGTCTCACACAAAACGACACCATGGATTCGCCGCGGCGGCGCCGCAGCAGCTTGAAGTAGGTCTTGAGCTGGTTGGAGATCTCCGGAAGGGCTGGCTCGCTCATCGTCTCTTTCAAGCAGCGCAGAAGCTTGCCAACGCCATCCTGGGACGAAAGCCAGCCTCGCTTCTTGTTTGCTATTGCGGTGCGTGCCGCTCCAGTCAGCTCGGCTGCCAGCCGTGGACCACATAGGTAGCGACTTTCCCACTTCACCGTCTCCTCGTACATGTAGGCAGCCCTGCGGTACTCCGACCAAGTGGACGGAGTACCATCCCATGCAGGGATGCCATCTTTGGACTTCGTGACTGTCATTGGGCTCCTTCTCACTCACAACAGGTGCGCTTCAACGCACCCACACACACACCCTCAGGGCCCGATGCAGGCCCCCCTGGATCGCCGGCCTCGAGGAACTCAGCGCCTCGCCGCCCCACACCGCGCGCAACCGCAATGCAGAGCTCCGCTACCGTGCAGGACGCACGGCGGACACACCCTTTTCCACTGAACTAAGGGGGAGGCTTGTGCCATAGGTACCAATCGGAGAGTACTAGGGACACACAATCTATACAACTTGCATATATATATATATATACAGGAGTCCCATGAAGTCTGGACGCCCCCCTGCTGGGAAGCGCGGAAGCGCCCAGCCCTGCGCTGCTGCTAAACGCGCATCAGGTCTGCGTGCTGCACTGGAGATGGCCTTACTTGGAGCTGAGGCCGAGTGAGCAAGTGGTGTGTTGTTTTCATGGGAAGATCTATATAGGTGACCTGCGACACGTACTTCTTGTGCACAACAGAGCTGGGCTTACAACTGGTTCGAAGACCACCTTCCTCGCCAAGATCCAAGATCCACGCAACTTTCTGTGCAAGCCGAAACTCAAGGAACACATTTGGAATTCCATTCATACTCAAAACACATCCCCAAAAGCCCATGCACCTCATCTCACCTCATCTCACCTCCCATCTCATGGTGTCGACACATCCATCCAACCGCCTCGCTTTGAACACCGGCGCCCGGCACCGATCCCACCCGGACCGACCCCCCGGGACCGAGCGATCTTCTCGTCCAGGTTCACGTCTTCGACCTCCGTGACACCTTTAGCCGTCCGGGACCTCGGCCCGTGACCGGAGGGGGAGGGCGCAAGGGCGAGGGGGGGGAGGGCAAGGAGGTGGGGCAAACAGATCCTGAGCTATTGCGGTCATGTTTGATGATTTTTTGAGAAGGACATGTAGAGAAACATGACCACCAAGTCAACATGTTTGAGTGAGAAGAACTTTGTGATGTAGAGAAGGTCCTCTGATGGGGTCATGATGGGTTCCCAGCAGTTCTATCCGTGGAGGAAGTCGGCAGTCGGGGTGCCCCTGTCACATGCGCGAGCCGTGGATGGGACTGACTAAACACCACCCGACTCCATGCAACTCCTGGTCCTCAGACGTTTGTGATTCTTCCCCCAGAAAACAGTGGGTGACGCTGGAACGAGTTCAGTTCACCATGCGCATTGCTTGACGATGTGATTGACCTTGCTTCTCTTTCACAGGTGACTCAATCTATACGAACGGGACCACGTTTGGACACTTCCTCATGAGAAGACATGACATTTGACAATTGACATGCCGACTGTTTGATCTTTTTGAGGTCTATAGATTAGACCATAGATGGTTTCATATGGTTTCACTTCGCAAAAGCCAAACAGATCCGTAACCGAGAATCTTCGAGACTGGTTCCCTTCCAAATCCCGGGCCGAACACAGCCCCATGGGTCCCGGTCTGGGCCTCCTCTCCGGTCGTGGTCGACCCCTCCGAGGGATGAACATCTTAAAGCTCTGGGACTGGGCAACGAGCGATCTGTTGGACCTGGGTGCCAAGCATTTGTTGCCCAGCTTCCTGAGCTACATGGACCGGGATGTTGTGCTGGGAAATGGACATGGATGTTTGCTTGGGGAGGCGGTGCTGAGGGATGTTTTTGGAACCATAATTTTTTGGGAGGCGTTTTTGGGTGACTATAGAGATGGAGGGAGTGTTCAGTGAGGAAAATATGAGGATGTCAATGGATGTCATTGAATGGATGGAATGTGGTTTTCTTCGCCTTCAGTGTTTTTGTGGTCAAGAAATGAGCTGAAGTGCTTTCCACGGGTGGCCTTTTTGATTTGAATATTCATTGAAACACGCCATGAAATTCCTCACTCATAGGAAGATTACAACGATTGCAATTAAGCCCAAAGCGCGATTTGTTCATATCTCGCTTAGAGCCACTGTCCATGCCTTGCGGAGCCACATCCCATCAACTTGGAAAGCATCCATCACATCAACAAGAGAAGTGACTGAGACATATAATGCACCCTTCCTTGGTGCCTTGGTGCGGCCTTTGCGAAAAAAGGTACCATCTCCCCGCGCAGGACTGCGCCGGACGTCGTCGCCGCTCCGTCGCGGTGGTGGGTCCGCCAGGATCACATCGGAATTCGTGAGCTCCAAGCGTTGCTCTTGAAGCTGTGCTTGTTGATGAAGGCCTCAGCCACGAGCGACGGACGGTCGCCGGGTAGCGTCGCCGCGTCCAGGTGGTGTGGGTTGTTGGTAGCTTTGCCTGCGGCTGCAGCAAAGCTGCTTAAGCTTTGAGAGGTGCTGGGAGGTGCTTATATTCTTTTTAGGGGGAACAGATCAGACTGCCAGCAACAGATCAGACTTGTCTCCAAGTTGGCGGGCTCTTCGAGTGAAACATCAAACCAGTTCTGTCAGATGGGAGATATAACATGTTTGCATGGAGCATTTATCTACCACCCTACCCCGCTTAAGAAGCACCCCTCATGCAGGTGCAGATCAGTTGGCAAACATCCTTCAAAGCTGCTTGGCCTAGAACAAATGCCGCACTCAAATGCAGTTTGTATGTGTATATAATATATATATATATTATATATTATATAGAGAGATTAGATTGCTTCAACACTCTGAAACAGTCGAAGACAGAACATTGTGAAATGGTTGGGTTCTTCTATGTTCCATTAAAGAGCAGAACACGCCCCTCTTCGTTTGACCGGTTGCTCGACAATTAGTGGTCATGTTCCTCTTCCTTGTGAGATGGCACTATGACAAAGTCTTACTCCGAGTGTATTACTGCATTGGCCCATGTGTTTAACTGATCAAAGTATAGATCTACTACCAGACATGCGTCCCTCCACTTTGTTTGGATCCGGTGTGCGACTGATGTAGGATTCCATAGATGAACTCGTGCCACGGTGTGCCATCAGGAGAGACACCCTCCGACACAGTGGGCTAGCGGGTAGATGGTCTGCTGAAAGACTGCTCGAGCCCATTCACCACCTTTGGCAGCTTAATCAACCTGTGACGTACTGCCAGCCCTCACCCTGTTCATCCCTGGGATCGAATCGTGCAATGGTTGTTCTCAAGAACCGGTCCGCCCAACTTGGGCTGTCGTGCAAGTCTCAACAGGGATTTTAAAAACCCAACCTGGGCTGCTTTAAGGCTCTGTCCTTGGTGCACATGACAAAAAGATCCCCATGAACATATCCTCTAGGAAATGGCAATGAGTTAAGCCTCATAAGGCCCGCCCAACCCGTCCTTGAAATCCTTAAATGACATGACCAAAAGAACCGAGGCCGTGGAGCCGTGGCTTGCCTGCACCTGGTGGGTCGCCTACACACGGACCCGACCGTGGTCGGAGGGGGGGGTTGTTCGACGGAGCTCGACGTGGCGCGCACCCGGCGGTGTTGGGTGCAAGGAGATCCCGAGGTCACGGTGTTGGAAGGAAGAGCTCCTTCTTGCGGGGCAGAACGTTGATTTCCATACTTTATGTTCTGGTAAAAGTGTTCAACACCTATTCTCAAACGAAGCTGAGCTGCTCTCCAGTTGCAGACTATGAGAATGTGAAGGGTCAGACCTGACAGGAAGGTAAGTAAGGGTGGAATTTGATCGCCCCTGTAAGCTCCCAGAGATATGAGATGTATACAGAGCTACAGACGTAACGCAGGTTCCGAGTCGGTCATCTATCAAGTCGGCTCGAGCTCTGTGAAGTTCTTAGAGCCACCTGCAACCCTTGCAAGGTACAAAAAACCACACTAAAATCATCATAAATCAATATAAACCAGACTATAGATCTATAGCCAGACTGTAGCCATGGGCAGTGTAGACTCTTATCAACTCCAGCTTTCTCCATTGTTCCACGCCCCTCATCTCAACGCTCGCGGCCGCGCCGAGCCAGCTCGGCTAAAGGTCCGTGGCGAGTGGCGTGCAGCTGGTCACGCGGAGAGTTGGACCGGGTGAAGGAGCCCCGGTCGGTTTGGGGGATCGCAGAACTGCGAGCGGAACTGGGTGGTTTGGCTGGGGAACAGCAGGGAGGTGTTCATGTTGGTTTTGGAAAAGACAAGTAGTATATGTGTTGTTTTAATGTAGACTCTGTCTTATTTATAAACCCCCCATAATGAAGAGGACTTCCAATTCAAATGGAAGCGTTTATTAATCAAGAGTCTACATTAAACATGGTTGGCTTCATGGAGCTTGATGCTTTGAGGGTGTCCTTGGCTAATTTGGAGGAGTTGGAAAGAATTGGAGAATGCAGAGGTCCAAAGCACCTCTTGGCGCGAATGGAGAGAATTCTGGAGGTGAAGAAGTGCAAAAGCACATTGAATCATATCAAGTTTCTTTGAACGATGTTGAACGTTGTTTTGGTGGACATTGCAGGGCTAGTTCAACTGCTAAAAATGGCTTAACAGTATCTAAGACCCCAATTTCAATCGACGTCACTTGTTTGATCATTCACCAGAAAATGTGAGTATTCTCCCAAGTGTGCCTAAGGATTTTGAGCGCCCCCGCTTGGGGACATCGGACTCCGTTTCGTTGTTGGTTCACGTTCATCAAGGAGGCAAGCGGGCTCCCTCCAGGCGCTCTTGTGTTTTGAGGAGTGGAGGAGACCAACACGTTCTCCAGCGTGATTGCCTGCGATGGCGGCCGAAGCAAGCCACTGGGCGATTCCAGTGTTTGAGCTGGAGCAGTTTGAACAAGAAAAAAAGCACCCATCCAGGTCAATGCAGCAGAGCAGTCAGCAGAGCATATTGAGTAGAAATGAGTAGAATAGCTCAATGCTGGCTATAGACTAGAGTCTGTTTTAAACTTGACTTCCGTGATTGATTCGTTTGCTGATGTTTGCTGTCATATTGTGTATTCAGCCAGCATGTTTTCACCAGGTGTGTTCCTGTGTTTTTTGTGTACGAAACAAGACGAGAACATTTGGATTAAAAACAACCCATCGCCCATCCCATCGCCCACGCTCCGCCCAGGGTCGCCGAGCACCTGGGCCTCGCGCG